GCCGAGGGCTCCACCAGGGGCACTGGGAGCACCCCCCCAGCAGATGGGCTCCCCACAAATCAGTACTGATGAGCCTAGGGAAGGGCTGTGCTCCAGGGAGATGGGGACATTGTTCTGGCTTGTGCTGGAACAGGGAGAGAGACATTCAAAGAAAAAGATTAAAATTAAAACCAAACCCAGAATGCACCAAAACCCAGCAGGACCTGACTAGCTGGTGCCAGCCCCCTCCCTTGAGCTACCCCCAGCAGGGCCAGGGGGAACTGACTTCTAAAAAACACTTCACCAGTTTCGAGAATCAGTCTCATCGGGTAAGTCCTTTCTCCTCTCCACAAGAAATTAAACATATGCTCACAGAGACAGACTCCAAACATATGGGTATCCACACAGTAAAATATCTGCCACGTGCCTGGGGCTGTGGTCGCTTCCACTGCTCTGCCCTGGGGGATTGAACTGCTGGGCAGCCCCAGACACCAAGGGCAGAGGGGATCAGGGAGGAAAAAGGGCACTAAGTGGCCCAACATGGGCACAGTCCAGCCACAAGTGATGAGGGTGCAATTAATATACACCCTTAGCAATTAATACACCTCCTCAGCAAACAAGCCAATGCAACAGAGCATCTCTCAAACGTCCACAAGACAAGGGAAGCTCCAGGCAGGTCAGAGCTGCTGCCCAAAGGGCCCCACAGCCATGTCTGAGCTGAAACAACAGCAGGGGCTGTAAAATCCCTCCAAACTGGGATACTCAGGTTAAACCACCACCCTTGGGTGTCCCCAGACCACCCCACAGGGCCCTGGCTCTCACTGGGAGGGGATGCTCCTCTCTCCACCTGGGCTCGATGGTGGCTCCCCAGGTTGGCCCATGGCTTCGTGCAGATGCCCCTGACAGAGCCATTCCCAGGGCGCTGTGGGACAGGCTGCAGGAGAGATGGGTGGCCGTGCACAGCCTGTGCCATGAGCTCACTGCAGGCTCTGGGCACCCACAGCAGTGTTCTGTTTTAGTTTTAAACATGGATGGAAAATCTTTACCTCATTTCCTAAAAGCACTTTAATGTCTTTTCACAGGAAAAAAAAAATACTAAAACGTATTAGTAATTTGGATTATTTAATTCAGTCAGCAGGATTGAGAGCTCTTGCTGCACTTCAAGTCCAGGTTCAAAGCATTAATCACTAAATTCTGCATCGTTTCCTTCACATTTCATTTCTATCTCATTTTTTCATTCATTAGCCACGAGCATGACAAGTGCCAGAGTGCCCTTAGGTGCCCCTACAGTGCATGGTTCTTGGATCCATCCAAGTATTCAGTTGCTGGACCCACCTAAATCAAAGGTGAATCACCCTCAGAGCATTCCTTGGCAGTCAGTTACCACAGGGATGAGTGGAGGAGGCTGAGGGTTCATTTCAGCACCTTAGGGGGGTCTAGAGTTAAATGAGGTCCTGGCGAGGCAGAGGCAAAGCCGGGCACTGCCACACTCCAGCACTGCCATGCTCCGGAGCCCCATCGGTCCACGAGCACCCACAGAGTCAAAAGCAAGTGCTGTGCTATTCCTCTTCACCAGAGGAGAGCAGGGCTGGCCTGGAACATACCTGGAATACACCAAGAACACAAGTACAGCACACCTAAAACACACCTGGAACATGCTTCCGTATATGTCCAGGGTGTGTTCCAAACATGTTCAGGCATATTCCAGGTCCAGGTGTGTTTGAACATAACTGGAAACATATTCTGGGCATATTCCAGGCGTGTTGTAGGTGTGTTCCAGCTGTGTTGCAGGGACCTGCATTCCTATGTTCCAGGTACATGTCGGTGCAGTGCAGGTGTGCTGGATGTGTGTTCTAGATGTGTCATCCAAATGTTCTGTGTTTGCTCTCTGTGTCCTGACCAAACATTCTAGGTCCATTCTAGGTGTGTCAGGTTTGTGCCGGGTTGCTCTGTCCCCAGGAAGGAATCGTTGGGAGCTGCTGTTTCTCCCTCACTACTGTCTAAGCCCCAACCGTGTCCCACTGCAGATCCTGGGTGCTGCCACACAGCTGCCCCTGCTCAGCCCAGGGCCAGCCCCGGCCCCGCTCCACGGTAACGCTCTCAGCAAGTTCTCTGTGCAGGCACTCGGCAGAGGTGACGTGCTGGGATGCACACATTGCACTGTGGCTGCCTGCGCTTGGGACCCACAAAACTAAACACAATACAGCTTTGGCAGGAGCTCTTATTCACCCGAGTGCTGAGACGGGCACAGAGCCGTGATTTAACCTCCTCCTTTTTTATCACCTGCTCTCCAGAGCCCCGTGGTATCCTCCAGCAAGGGGCATCAGCAAGACGCACCCCGCATGCACCTCAGACTCACCCCGAGAGCCCCCACTGCGTGCCCTGCACCCCGCAGCTGCTCCCCAAACTGGGACAGGCCGGCTCAGCGCGCCCATTCTGTCGCAGGGCACCGCAGGCACCTCCCAGGCGCGGGTTCCTCTGGCCTCGCGTTGTTCCGATGGGCTGGGGAAGGAGCGGAGCAGCCGCCCCGGATCGTTCCCACGAGCCACACCGGGACTCCAAAGCTCACCGGGACTCCAAAGCTCACCGGTATTTCGGACTTCAGAGGGAACCCAACACACGTGTCACCGAGCAGCAGCGTGGAAAGCGACTTATAATGCAAATGCTGCATTCGGCCCGTGGAAATTAATGAATAAACAACTCAGTGCGTTGTTTATGCCCAGAGTTAATGATTACCGAGCGGGGCGGGGGGAGCGGCCGGGACGGGCGGCCCCGAGACGGGTCGGGGCGATCCCGAGGGGGTCGGTCCGGAACAGGGGAGGGTCGGGCCGGGGGGGGATGTCGGTGCGGTCCCGGGGGGTGGTCCGTGCCGGGGGAGGTCGGTCCCGTCAGGGCTGGGTCCCCTCCCGGGGTCGGTCCCGTCAGGGCTGGGTCCCCTCAGGGATGGGTCCGGTCCCCTCAGGGATGGGTTCCCTCCTGGGGTCGGTCCCCTCAGGGATGGGTTCCCTCCCGGGGTCGGTCCCCTCAGGGATGGGTCCGGTCCCCTCAGGGATGGGTTCCCTCCCGGGGTCGGTCCCCTCAGGGATGGGTCCGGTGCCCTCAGGGATGGGTTCCCTCCCGGGGTCGGTCCCCTCAGGGATGGGTTCCCCCCCGGGGTCGGTCTCTTCCCGCCGCTCTGGGCGCGCGGGGCGCTGCTGCCCCCTGGCGGCGCCGGGCGGACACGGCGAGGGGACCCCGGGCCGGGCACCCCCCGGGCCCCGCACGGGAAACGACACGAGGAGCGCCCGGCACCGCCCGGCACGTACCTGGCACATCCCTGACGTGCTCGAGAGTCCGCTCAGGGACCCGTCCCTCCACACGCCGCTGCTGCCCACGGACCCGCTGGAATCCCCCCCTGCTGTCCCGCAGGACCGTGTCCAGGAGCCTCCCGGCCCGGGGCGCCCCTTCAGGGGGTACCGGGCTGTGACAGCACCAGGCCCCGCCGCTCTTGGATGCTCTGGCTGCTCGGGAGAGGCTGGGTGAGGGGTACAGACCACGATGGGACTGGTAGCCTGGAGCACACCCGGCACTGGGGTCATTAACCGAATTTAAGGAGGGATGATGCAGGTCAAGCCCCACCTGCGGCTGAGCCAATCCTCCCGCGGCTCCTGGCCCACACAAACCTCTGCTCGAGCATTGCCACCTGTGTCTGCAGCAGCCCCACCTCGGGGATGGATGGATGGATGGATGGATGGATGGATGGATGGATGGATGGATGGATGGATGGATGGATGGATGGATGGAAAGAAAGGACACAACTCCTAGGGCCCATTTACTATCCCAGTTGTGGCACTAAAAGCCTCATCAAAGGGAGGATGAACAGCTTCACATGAGCCTGGATTAGGAGTACTGGAGAACAGGGACTTTTATTTGGAAATCAGTTGTCAATTTACTGATAACAGTGACATTTACTCTCAGGCAAAGGCTTCATTTGGCTCATTAAGTGCCAGCATTGCTGTGGGGACCTTCCCAACTCAGAGGGAGCCCAGCACACTGATTTGGATGCAGGATAGACCCTTGATTGACCCAGCAGTGCAGGTGCATCAGAAAGCTGTTTAAGTGTTGCTTTACTGTATCTGGTGATGACCCGGGTTAGAGCTGCAGTGCAGCAGAGCCTGGCTGAGGGGTGACTGGCGTGGTGACCAGGCAGTGATGATAGGGGCTGGCAGGGCTGGGCAGGGCTGTGCCACCTGGGCACCTCCCTGGCGGGACACCAGACACACTGCGGGGCTGAGCCAGCATGGAGCGGGCTGTGATGGACGATGTCCTGTGCTCGCTGCAGTTCTCGTGTCACTGACCTGGCTCCAGTTGATTCTATAAAACCCAAGATGGGCTGTCCCAAGGGCTGGGGTTCCCATTGGGGACCAACTGCCACCAAGCTGCTCAGTCCTTCCTTTTGGGAGGTCATTGCTCTTGTCTCATTTGGCACGGAGTGAGCACTAAATTGCTTTTAAGTTCATTTTTACATCTACTTTTGTCTGACATCACTTGTGCATTGCGGGCATGGTCGCCTTCCCAGACCTGTGTGATGTGTCCCCAGTGCCAGGGCAGGGGGTTCTCAACACGGGGGGACATTTCTCGGCTGGCACAGACCAGCATAGGTCTGGCCATGCTAATGGAAATAGGCAAATTCTCACCCCTTGGAGTTGGTGGGTGGGTTTTCTATTGGCCTACGTCCCTCTCCCCTGCGTGTTTGCACCATAGGCCCAGGGCTGAGAAGAGCCCATCTGAGCTCGGGGTGGCCCATCCAAACACGCAGCAGGACACACAAAGTCAGCTGGTGAGCATCCATGGGCATGGGGAGCAGCTACAGGATCAGCAGAGATGTGGCCACTGGTACCACGGCTGCCTGCCGGTGCAGGAGGGATTACGGGCTGTGGCACAGGCCTCTGGAGGACACCTTGGCCACCACCTCTGGCCAGGGCTGTGGGATGAGGGCTGGGCAAGAGGCACAGGCAAGAGGCAGCAAATCATAGACAGCGTTTTTGAGAAAAGTTAAGCAGTTTATTCAACGGGATGAGTCCACACCCAACCAGTTGCTTCATCTACATGGCATCACCAGCACACACAAGGACCCACTCAGACACTCTAGCTGACGGCATCTCACCATACGTTACAGAGACAACACCGGGGAGGAGGAGGATGACTGGTACAAGGGGCAGCAGCCACAGTCTCCCACGGCTGCCCAGCGTAACCAACCCCGTCCCCACCACAGCTCACGGCCCAGCCACGCGAAGCACATCAGACTCGGGACATCTACTGCCGCCCCCGAGAACCACAACACCGCTAGTTAAATGACACACCCGGGGTTACAAAAACGACCTACCAGGGGACTTCAGCCTAAGGAACAAAGTGCACTGTCATCGCCGCCCCGGCACCGCGCGCGCCGCTGAGGGTCTGTACAGGGAAGGGGCTCTGCTGCGGTACCATCACACTTGGTCAGCACCATCGCAGGCCATGCCAGGCCCTGGTGAGGGCAGGCGAGGGCCAAACTGCCCCGGCACCATGGCATGGATGGGGCAGGGCCGAGGGAGCCGGGCCAAGGTTGGCGCTCGCTCTGCACAGCAGAGGAACAGCCGCCCCCCCTCAGGGCTGGGGGTCCCGGGGGCTGCGCGGCCCCTCGCCCGCGGTGCTGCAGGGGGGCAGGAGCACACCCCACCCCGCTCCCGGCCCTGGGCTGGCACAGGGAAACTCTGTGAACTCTGAGGCCCACGCACAGTCTGTGCCCTCGGGGCAGTACCGAGGGTCAGGGTTGGTTACTCACAAACCATGAGCAGGTTCCAGTTATGATGCTCCTACAATGTACGTGGCTCAATTTTGTGCCAAGTTCGCTTACAGAAAAATACATTTCTTCCCTTAAATTTACAGTAGTTAAAACTACACTTGGAATACTGTATTACAAAGGGGGAGTTTATTCTCCAACAAAAAGTCTTGGTTCCCTTTTCATCAAACAGAAAAATGGAAGGACTTTAAAAGCAATCGCCCCCAGCACAACACAGCTGCCCAGACGAACCCATGTGTGTACAGCTCCCAGGCCTGAACTCCAACTGTTTGTTCTGGTGCTCAAAAAGGCACTTAAAGATAAGAAAACAATTGTATTAAAAACCCACAACAAAACAAAACAAAGGAAAACGAAAGGCAATAATTTAATAGAAAGACACTGGAACTTGTACCGTATCTCCAAAAGTAAGAAGGGAGGAAATAAAACCCCTAGTGAACATAGGTTTGCTCTCAAGTCATCTTGGAAATAATATTAAAAAAAAGGAAACTGGCAAAGTGAATGTTCTCCAGGAACTAAACGGAAACAAAAATAATAATTACTGGCAACAGATACACAGCGCTCGTGCCAAATGGGTCCTTCCCTTCCCAGCACACGGCCCTGAGCAGCCCAGCCTGGTGGAACATCTGCTGCCACTGCGCTGGGCCGGGCCAGGGCCTGCGCCAGGAAAGGGGGATGATGGAGAAATAAACACCAACATGAACCAACTGTGGTCATTACAAACGCCAAGGACGTTCACGGACAAGCACACACACACCGTAGTCCCTGCCAACGTGACAGGGAGGGACACGGGCAGAGCTGCTCCCCCCGGGCTCTGAGAGGGGCGCCGGCGGCTTCGCTTCCCTTCAGGGTTACTATTATTATTACTGGGTTTATTTTTACATCGAGCTACCTACTAAGTGCAAAGATTTGGTGAGTGGCATCGGCTTTTATCTAATCTTAGCCTATTTTTTACAGTTTACAGGTTAACAGTTACTTTCCAGCAGTTAAGCAAGTAGGGCAATATATACAGGGCTGGCAGAGCAAGGGGACACGTGCGCTGGGCACGGGACAGGGACAGGCACCAGCCGGTCCCGACGGGTCTGTGACCCCGCTCCGTGCCCGGTGCGTGGAGGCACAGGCGTGGAGGGGCAGATATGAAGGTTCAGGTGTGCAGGTATGGATATGGAAGTGCAGGCGTGGAGGGGCAGGTAGAGAGGGGCACATATGGAGGTGCAGGCGGCCTCACATGAGGGTGAGCTCCCAGGCTGAGACACAAGCCCTGGCAGGACCAGTGGGCTCTGCTGCTCTGGCCGGTGCCTCCTCCACCTTCTGGAAGTCAAGCTGCTCCTCCTGCAGAGCTGGGGTCCGCAGTGGTGCTGAAGAGGTGAGGAAGATGAAGGGGAGACAAAGCAAAGGCCCGGGCAGGGGTGGGTGGCTGCTGGGTGAGGCAGGAGGGTTCGCGGGCATCTTTGCCCAGGCACAGACAGAGCAGCAGGGTCAGAGATAGCAGGGAGGAAGGATGGACATTAAGGAGCCATTAGTACATGACCATGGGGAAGTGACAAATCAAACCATGGGGTATTGCATGGAAATCTGTACAAGGAAAAGCTGCAGGAGAAGCACAGAGCGTCTTGGATTCAGCGCTTAGAGCGGAGTCTGGATTATCAGAAAGGACCATGCAATCCCCAGCTTTCTGCATATTTTTTCTCTGGGTAAAACAAAATGTAGGTTCCTTTGCATAACTCAAACAGTTGTATTATATGGTACAGTACAGAAAGTGCAAAGTGTCACCCATCAGATCGGTTCTGCATCTGACACGGTCAAATATGGCTCATGCTTCTCATGCAGGATGACACTCTCTGAACCGAGACCCCCCTGTGCCGCTGGGCAGCTTCACACCGAGGAACGTGGTGGTGCCAAAGCCTCCTGACTGCTTATACCTGACTGTAGAGAGACCATTGGGTTGTCTTCTTATTAATTAAAAAAAAAAAAAAAAGAAAAGTGTGCAGGGAAAGGGAGATGAAGGATCTCCAAACTGTGTAAGTTACTCCATACTTTACCACAGGTTTGTCACCAGTCCTTGTTCACTCTGAAACCTTCCAGAAAAGCAGCGTTCCATGGCCTCAGTGCAGCACAGCATCCTCCTCCTGTGTGGAGGTGATGGTGCACACCTTGCTCTGTCCCCACTCATGGCACACAGCTCACTCTGTCCCTGCTGCCCAGGGCGTCACAGGCACACAAAGATGTCTCAGGATTCAGGACTGAACAGACTCCAGCTGGCTGGACGCACACCATCATTTATGGATTTCCAGCTCTTCTCTACAACCCAGCAGTGAACAGACCCCACTGTATCCCCATCCCTTTTTTTTTAAATGCCAAGAGGTGCAGAAACAAAATTCCAGGATGGCCTTGTATTGCTCGATGCATGGCTGCTGCAGTGTGGGCCTCCACACGTGCACAGAGTCTGGGAAACCCAGCCCAACCCACCATCTCCAGAGAGGACATTTCAGAGCCAGTTTCTGAGGTAAATCTACTGTTTTAAAAAGTCACTGAATTCTGTACACTTTGTTTTTAATATATACTCCTACAGAGAGTATGTGTTCTCCAGTGCCGACACGCAGACCCGCTGTCTCCTCCTGCCGTAGGACTGCAAGCTCGGGAAGTGTTTCTGCATGGAGAGGGTGTGTGCACACATATGTACATATACACACACTCACGTATGTACAGCACCAGGCCCAGGCTATGCATGTGTTCCCTTTTGGAGAGGCTCCCCCCAGCAGGGCTCTGACCCCCGGCTTGGCCCAGAGAGGCTTTGCCGTGTCGGGCCCCACTCCCGCCATCCGGGCCCCGGCTCTCCCACTGCGGTCCCCGCGCCCCAGCCTACATGGTGCCCGATTTATCCACCGAGCCGCTGGGGAAGAGCTTCTCGGTGGGGGTGACAGCAGGGCTGCCCACCCCCGAGCTGCTGCTGCTGCTGGAGCGGTGCTGCACCACCGGCCGCACCGGCCGCATGGGCGGCGGCCGCAGCTGCGCCCCGGCCAGCCGGGCCGACAGTGCCGGCTTGAAGGTGGTCATCATCTCGGTGGTGGAGCTGCTGCTGCGCCGCATGGCCGCGTCGGGGTCCCGGATCAGGATGGTGTGCAGGGGGCTGGCCGGCTCCGAGTTGGCGGCGCCCATTGGCGGGTTCTTCATGGGCTCCAGCGTGTCCAGGACCACGTCGGGGGCCTGCTTGGCCGTGTTCTGCCTCTCCAGCTCCCGCAGCTCGTTCAGTGCCGTGCTCATGGTCTTCTCGATGTCCTGTGAATGCCAAAGGGATGTCAGCACTGTGCTACAGCATGACTCGCTCTCCTCTGGCTTCCCAGCAGCCGTCCACTCCACCTGGGCATCATCCACCATCCCACAGCTGCTGTTCCTGACATGAACCAAACTGCTGGGATTGGGGGCACTGAACAGCCTGTCTGTCCACAGGTTTCCAGCCCCTGAGCCCCAGTCACGGTGCTCAGACACAATGGGGGGGGACTGTGCCTGAAAAAGGTGGTCTCTGAAGTGCTAGAGAATTCCACAGCCAGTTCTCTGAAAGATCCATTCTCTGGGATGTGAACAGGTTCACAATAACCTGACTGATTCCTAGTTGGGGCCTGCCGCCAGCAGCAGAGAGAGGGACCTGGAGCTACATTGGGGTCACAAGAATTAAAGGAGCCCCATGGATCTGATGGCCTCATGTGACACCAATGGCACCACATGGATGGAGGCACCACACTGGGATCAGACTCACATTCTGAGGTCACAGCAACAAAGAGCCAATACAGAACTGCAGCACCTTTCCCCAGTGATCATCAGTCCAGTCAAACCGATTCGGCAAATCCAGTTTCCCCCCTGCGCTCCTTATGAGATAAAGCATTTCCCTCCCTGCAGAGGCAGGAGCTGCCAGTGCCTTTTGGTGGTGGATCCAACATTTCAGCCTACTGTTGGGCAGACACCAGGATTGTATAAGGAGCAGTATCTTCCATCACACCAACAGATACAGCTGGGCAGCAGACAAGCTGTTGGCTGCTCATTTTAACCTTTACACCACGGCAGCACCGTAACTCTGAGTGTCTGAGGTGAAGGGGCTCTGAGCACTCCCCAGTGACCTCCCCTTTAGTCTCTTGGTCCCTTCCCAACACTTACCTCAGCAAGAGCTTCTGCTTCCAGAGATTTCTGGTCTCCAAGGCTGCTGTGCCGGGTGGACCCACAGGTTGATCTCAGGGGGTGGCCATCAGCCAGGGTCTTCCTGTCTGGAAAATTGATGCTGCCCGCGCTGCCAAACGTCGCCATCCTGCGCTTCTCAGGACTCTCGATCCTGCCCCTGTTGAGGGGGATCTTGTGGGGGCTGCTGGGGCAGGCTGCTGCTCGAGGAGGGGTGTCTATGCCAGGCCCCATCCCTCGGGGCGGGCTGTGGGTGTCTCCCCCGCTGCGGCGCCGAGGGATGGCTGCGCCGTCAGACCTCAACCTCACCCTGCAAAGAATCCAGCACCTCAGGTCACTACCTGTCAGCCCTAGCACAGCTGGCTATGGGCTGCAATTGCTCAGCTCTGAGTTCGGCTCAGACCAAACTCGAGCCTTTCAGCTCCAGAAGACCCAGGCAAGAGGGAAGACAGACACTTCAGTCAGCACCAAGAAAGTGACAGCACTGAATCACAGAATCCCAGAATGTTTTTGGCTGGAAACTTAAGGATTTTCTTGTTCCAACCCCCTATCATGGGCAGGGACACCTTCCCCTGGACCAGGCTGCTCAGAGCCCCATTGCAGCCTCTGTACATGTTAAATCCCCGTTATCAATGCACAGGAAACCCCCTCCATGTTCATATTACCCCACAGTGCTTACTGGACCGTCCCCTTCCATTCTGCCCCACCCCACACACTGACTGTCCCCACATGCGATGGTGACCAACTCCATGCTCACAGGAAAATGAGTTTCCCTACCTGCCCATCACTCCCCCGAAGCCATAGTCCATGATATGATCCGTTGGAGACTGGATGTCGTTCTTGGAGGAGGCTTTATCATCAAGCAGTGGCCCACTGCTCGCCTCGCTGTCTGCCTTCTGGCTCAGGCTGTCAGAGAACGCGTCATCCCTAGGGCAAGGAGATCCCATCAGTGACAGGGCCATGTCCCTGGGAGAGCCAGGGCCCAGCTGCCACACAGATCTGAACATCCCCACTCCAGCAGCTCCAGACTTTGGTAACAAAGGGCTGGACCAAGGCTATCACTTCACTGGGAGCTTGGAAACAGCTGCCATCCTGTCTCCACACCTCCTGTGCTGTGGCTGCCATTGTAATGACTCCAGGTACAGCACTTGTAAGAGAAGCAGCACCTGCGAAGGGCCCTGGGATCTGCTCCCAGGCCAGGTGGGCACTGAACAATCCAGGTCAACACTCACAAGGGAAAGGCCAGTGGTAAAGCCTGGGTCACACCACTCTGGGGAGCCAGTGAGAGATGGGGTCCAGGCACACTGAGGTACAGTGTTTAATGCTTGGCTTTATCAGCCTCAAAGAGAAACAATCAGAGCCAATACACGGAGATGTGAATAGGCTCAGGTTTCTCAGTGAAGTCATTAAACCTTGGAAAACCTGACCCATTATTTTAGGTGGCTGAAGTGGAGCTTGTGCAGGTACATGATTTTAACACCCTGGATCAACCCTTACCACTTTACTCACATGTCTTGCACCACGATGTACTGGTGGGGGATAAGCCCATCCACCCCGTTGTGTCTTCCTTCCCACCAGTCTTCTGATGCCCGATGGTACAGCAGGAGTGAGGCCCCTTTCTTGAAGGAGAGCTCCCGTGGAGATCGTCCAATGTAGTCAAACTTGGCTATAGCTTCAATCTGCTCCACCTCTGCACAGGAGAGAGGCACAGCAAGAGAACACCTCAGCTCAGCCCTCACCAGGGAAGATAAACCCTAGAGAGCCATCTCAGCAGAGCAGCAGTGCTGCTGCCTCCCAGCATCCCCAGAGCATCTCATACTGAGCACAAACCTTATTTTCAGACTGATCAATTCTTACTGTTGTTCTAGCCTTCCTGGGATCTCTCACAGACTCACAAACTACCAGCAGTTACAAACAGCTACAACCAGATGGGGAGCAGTTGGAATCTCCCTGTGTGCATATGGCATCCTCATCCACACTCCTATTTTCTGCCTTTGGTTACAGAACCCCATTATCCACCAGCCTGGGATCTCGTCAAGCTGTGTCAGATGCTGTATGACCAAACCCTGCTTACCTTCTCTTTCTTTCCTTATCCTGGAGACAGTTTGGCTTGAATTATTGATGAGCAACTAATGCCCCTTTGGGGATCCCCATGGAAACGATGATACCAGCTCCAGCCACACAGCTGCTCTGCACCCATCTGCAACACCACCTCACTGACTGCCCCCTCCTCCTCGTGCCACCCCTGCCACTGTCAGAGCCAGCCAGCAGGCGTTAACGTGCCTTCATGATCTGAGACACCAATCATTTTAATCCCCACCTGGAGACTGGCAGACAGGTGATGACAAAGCCAAACAGGGCAAATGTGCCCAGTTCCTCCAGATCTGCCATGTTCTCATTAAACATTGAAACTTGCTCTGCCCCATCACTGCCCACAGGCTCAGCAGCCATCAGGGTGTGACCCAATGCAAACTCACACAGAGCAGGGGACACTGGAGGAGGACACGGGAGACACTGCACCAGACACCTGCCCATTCCAGCCCCACCTGGGACAGGCCAGGCTGCTTCAGCAGACTCATCTTCCCCACCCTGAGCAACCCCCACACGACAGCAGTGTCTGGGAGCACCACAGAGGCATCAGTGGGAATGTTCTGGAGGAGATAGAGCTGGCAGGCAGCCAGGAGGGCTCCCACAGCCCTGCCAGAACACTGGGCTCCCAGCAGGGAGTGTGTGCAGGGCAAGGGGGACAGGGAATATGTAAATTCACAAAATAAAGTTGCTCCTCTACTCTACACTCGACCCGCAGTTAATCACCCGGAAACCCCAACTGGAGCCATTAACGTGGCCACCCAAGGGTGAAATTGGCTGCACAGCAGCTCCTTCACCTTCCTCTGCCAAGGCCTGTCAGCTCCTGCCTGGAGCTGAGAGCAGGCCCTGAGCCCTTCCCTGGGCCATTCCCAGCTCCCATGGCCCCACCAGCCAGGTGAGCCCTTCCTCCTCCCTGCAGTCCTCTGAGGGCAGATGTGCTCTGCCAGGGCAGGACAGCACTGAGGCAGCAGCTGCCAGGGAGGCAGAGGGTGCTCAGCTCCCCAGTGCCCTTCCAACACAGGAAACCCTGCCATGGAACAGAGCCACAGGGCTGGGCGTTCCCTACCCCACAGCAGTGCCAGCAGGTTCACCCAGACTGCCCCCTCACCATTGGTGCCTCTGGGACACGGGAAGTGCTGCCTCCTGCTCCAGCACCACGGCCCGGAGCACAGACGCTCCTTGCTCAGCTCTGCCAGCAGTCAGCCCATCCCACCTCTCTCCCGACTCTGCAGGCTGCTCCCCTGCACACCCAGCTCTGCTGACAGGGACCCAGGCCCTGCTCAGCCCTGCTCACCATCGTCGCTGGTGTGCGGCTCCGTCCCGTTGTCGTGGTCCCCCTCGTCGATGGTGCCTGGCTCGCTGTGCGGGCTGTCGCTGCAAGGGAACACGGCACTGTCACCCACCAGTGAGACCCTGCTCCCGGGGCACTCTGCAAACACAACTTGTTGGGGGACATTTTGGCCTCAGAGATACTTGGAAGTTGTGTTTTTAGTTTGCATAGGACCGAGATGGTCACTTTACATCACAGCAGATCTCTGAACTTCCTCCGAGAACACCAAACCCACCACGATCTCCAGCCGAGAACGTCACGTTCTGTTGCTCTTATGGCTTTACTCGTATATGGCAAAACAAACACAAAGTGTTTGCACCAAGTTAAATGTCCCATTTGCTCACTCATAGCGAGCTTTAGCACTTTATCATCTGCTGCACTAGGAAGGATGGTGGCAGGTGACCAGGGTCAGGAAAGGTGAGGTCTCAGAAATGTATAAAACTTGCACAGAAATTAGTTCAAGTGTGTTATCAATCCTGCTTTGTTAAACCCAGACCTGAATGTGAGATTAGAATTCCAGCAAAAAAGAGAACTGGAAGGTTCAGGTTGACCTCAGGCTGAGGGATTCCATCCAACCAGCAGATCATGGTGGTACTATGTGTCTTTACTCAAAATTTCCAGCCTAGGAGATATCTGGATAAAATGGACCTAAAATTCTGATTTGCTCTGGATACACTTCTGTTGATCCAGAGCTGAAAGAATCTTCCACCAATACTAGTATTTATACTGGAAAGAATTTCTCCTGAAATTTTTACTGAGGTTTATAATGCTGAGTCAGCACGAGAAAAAGAAATACGTGGTTAAACTGCCTGTTTTAACTGGTAGTACTAAATCAAATGAGCAGGGACTGCTCGGCTCGGGGTGCAAGAGCCTCTTGACCTGATGAAGGTGTTTGTATCCAAGAACCCTGCAGAGAACCTTACCAGTACTCCTCCCCTCCAGTCATGCACTTCTCGTAGACAGGCCCTTCCAGCTCTCGGTGGCTGGGGAAGATTCCCTCGTGGTGAATGATGATGGTTTTGATGACCTCATTGACGTGGGCCTGGCAGGACACCGGATCCTGCCCGTCGGGAATGTGCATCAGCGTGGGCCCGAAGCAGATGGCCAGGTTGTAGGGATCCATCATGTTCTCATCGCTGTACTGCGACAGGCTGCAGGCACACAGGGAGGGAGCTGCCGTGCCAGCGTTCCCATCCACCCCCAAAACCACCACCAACCCCACTGCCCAGGGAGGCACCAGCACCGGGCTGTCCCCCTGCCCTGAGCACAGGGGGCTGGGGAAGAACCAAATACAACTCCCCACAGCAACAGCAGAAAGCACTCGTGCCCCAAAGACAGGGAAACCCTGACAAAAGAGAGGGCAAGGAAAAGCTCAGTGGAAGAGGCAGACAGACTCACTGGTTAAGGAAAGCAAAGAGGTATCTCATGACCACGATGACAGCCCGAGGCAGAGTGACGACGATCTGCTGGATCTGGTGCACTCTCTCAGCGGGGTTCTCCATTTCTAGAACACATGAATAGAAAGCACATCCCTAAAAACCTTCTCAGGACCAGACAGCATGGCACCAGAGGGACCTGTTCCAGATCTAGTGGCCCACTAAGTGAGAAAAACAACACCCTGTGTCCAGACGTGATCCACAGGTTTGGCATTAAGGTGCAAGCAGAGAATGGGGCACAGTGCTCCTCCACAGGGGAATTCATACATTCAGGTTCAGTATAAACAGCAAATAAAGACATTTCCATGAGTTTATTTTTAAAATAAGTGTTTATGCATTATTTAGTTCATTCCTCAACAACTCTTCTGTTCCTCAAAAGCCTGAGTCAGTGTGGCACTGGAAATGGAGCACTTCTTGATTTTCTAGGGCAGATTTTTAAATGAGGTTTTTATTCATCTGAATCTTCTGGATTATGCATTGGGTCCTTCTGAGCCCTTCCACTCCTGTCTCCCACTGCTCTCAATAGGAATTAGAAATTCCTAGGAAATAGATTAACTGAACCAGTGCTGAGTCAACACTTTTGGATTCACTTCTCTCCACAGAGATGCACAGAGTCCAGAGCTGCTGTCAGAAACCTGCTCCCTCCCATGGGAAGGAGAGTGACCCAGGGCTGTCCTGCCCTGGGCTATCTGTGTGTTCTGTGGAGTTAATCCTGCAGCTGCTGGTGCACAGGAAGCAGAGGATGAGCACCGGAGTCTCCGGGAGTGGGTGGATCACACAGAGGTGCTTGTGCTGGCTCAAACTGCAGTTTGCTGATCACAATAAAAATCACTGATATCATGTAGCTGGGCTGCCATTTGCTCATAATTCTGAGTAAAATCTGGCTTCAGTACCAAGATGGAAAGCATTATAATATTTCATTTAGGGAATTTTTCCATTTGAGGAATGGATTTATCCTGCTGCCTGGTGGGTTCTCTCCTTCTTCAGTCTGGTTTTACTAAAGAGGATGTTAGTTAAAAATACCCCCAACAAATAAATACAAACTGGATGAAACCCTATGACAACAGGTATATGTTCTGAAACCCAGAGGAACAAACTCTTGAGGCACTTGCTTTTCTCACTGAGCAAAACATTTTGACTGGCTGTAACTTGGGAATTAACAGCATAACCATCATCACTGTACACACGGGCACAGCCCTGTGTGGACTCTGCTGACAAAGGGCCTTTTGACCCATTTATTGCCCATGTGCCTTTGAGGAGCTTCCACATAAACCCTCAGGCCCCCAAGAGCAAAAGGAAGAGTTCTTCACTCTGCTTAGTCTGGACACTGACTGCACAGCCTGTGTTTGTGCATGTCTGTGTGGCACAAAGTCAGCTGCACTTCAGGCCAGATTCTTAATGGGAACAAAGCACTTTAATTCATTGAAAATCTATCTTTAATCAAAAGGTTGCAGGAGCAGCAGGAAAAGAAAGATGAGGAAAAGGAAGATTCTTGCTAAAATGAGAAAAATTAAGTGAGAGAGAGAGAGACAGAGAATATCATCCGGAAAATTAACAGATGCTGTTTGCAACAAAAAGCTCCCAAAAGCTTAATAAATTGTGCAAATTGGCATTAATTAGGGATAGTGCCAAAGCACAAGCAAGCACACAGGCAATCACATCATCAAGCACAAGTCCTGGCACCAGAGGAGACCCGTCCCCTTCTCCTGGGCTGTGCCCCCTGGGAAAGGCAGACAGAGCCAGCACCAGCTGGGCTGAAAATCCCTGTCCAGGGCCTGGAACTGGTGCAGAACCAGCTTCCTTTGCTTGTCTCACAGGTGTGCTGTGCTGTTTTACACATCAAAACAGCAACAATGAATCTCCTAAAGCTGCTACATAAACCAACCATTCTTGAGAAACCAGAGTACATTCCTCTCCTCTGGAACAAGCCCATCCCTGCACAAGTCCCCTCCAGATATCATCTGTCTCCCCTGACATCACCAGATCCCCAGCAGTTATGAGCATGCACATTCAAAAGGGGGGGAAGGAGTCATGAGCAGTGAAGCCAAACAAATGCCTTGAGCACACATTCCCAGTCAATGCCCCTGAACCACCCACGTACCAAGACACCCCAACCCCAAACAACCCCGATACTTCCCCTGTAAAATAAAGTCACCCTGTAGCCAAAGCATGCAGCACCTCCATCACTTCTGAAACATCAGACTCATTCTGCCTCCTTCCTTCCCCCCAGTGGAATAATTTCCACAACTTGCCAATAAATAAATGTCATTGCTACAAGGTACTGAGAGAAGCACACCCCAGCTGGGAGAGCTGATCCTGCAGCAGAATATGTGGAACTGAGAGATTTCAGGACAGAACAAGAAGCAACCAGGCTCTCCCTGACATCAGTCCCAAAGCCCCTCAGCTTCTCCCTCTGCTCATCCCAAAGCACTTTCTAGTTTTCTTTGGGACAGCAAATGCATACAGCAAACACATGGAGAACAACCAGGTCTGCAGACTCCAGGGTTGCAGCAGCTCTGCGAGTAGCCAGGAGCTCCTGACCCTCACTATCTTTAGCCACTGAGCTAAAGCAGCTAAACCCTGGTGGGTCCAGGAGCCACAGCTCTGGAGAGGTGACAGGCACGGCAACCACCGTCCCTGTGCAGACCTGAGGCAGCAGGAGCAGGACAGCAGCCACCCCCATCACACCATTAATGACCCCTCGAGCAACCCTCAGATGTGGACACAGCCTTGCTGCATGTGCAGCCCCCTGGCCTAAGCTTGGAGACGGCTCTGGGGATCCTCATGATGTTGGGGAGAATTCAAAAGAGCCACAGTGAGATGTTTCCCCCCTCCCTCCCGCCAGCACTGCCAACACACACTCCTGATGTCCTTCCCTAACAATTCCCACTGCCCACCTGCCGCCCTCCTCACGGCACAAACCCCTGTTTGCAAGACTCAGGTGTGCCTGCCCCCCATTTAGTGCTTCTCTTACCCACCCTGTTCTCCACAAAGAGCTGTCACAGGTACTTACTTATGGTAGATATCAAATCTTGAAACCTTTCCTTAGGAAAGAGGGGGTTTTCCAGTCCTCGGAAATACAGCTTCAAGACTCCAGCCACTGAGTTAATGTCCCGTTCATTCTGATCATCAGCGAGGGGATCTTCACCTGTCCAGAGAAGAGGTTTTATGTCCAGTATCACTATCAAGCTGGACTAGCACAGCAAATGGTTTTTTCCTCACTCAGTGGAACCCTCCAATTTCACAGGGTTCAGAAACCCTCCTTGTATGCAATGCCAATGCTGAGTGGTTCCTGAAAACCAGTTTAGGGTGGGATTTCAAACCTTTCCTGAGGATGATGATGCTATTGATCGCCTCCCCTTCAGGTTTCCAGCCCAGTGCAGTTTGCATTTAAAGCACCAGCCCAGTGAGCTGAGCAGGTCTGAAGGACGGTGGGTGAGAGCCTGAGGGGACAGGCTTGACTGGAAGCAATTATGCCTCTGGAACAGACCCAATGGTTCTAGACAGCATTGTAGTGACTTAGATCTATGAAAGGCTTTCAATGCCCAAGGGATGTAGATTCCTCTTAAACTGTATGTGCAAATCCTCCAAATCCAGCCTTTGACAATCCCACCACTGCCTTATCCATTGGCCCGGCCACCTTCACCCTGATCTTTCTGATGCTGCTCAAGGATTAACATTAGGCCACTCTTCCCACCTGGGCTGTCCCTGTCGCAGCTCCCCTCCACTGGGGACAGCAGGATTGCTCTGCCCTGTCTCACCTGGCACCTTCAGTGCGGTTTTGATTTTCTCAACAGAATCACTGGCACCTCCACAGCCAGCACTGCCACCAGGGTGGGAATGCTCCTCCTTCCCTGGCAAACTGCTGAGGAGGAAGAAGGATCCCCCAAACTGTTTTATGGCTCTTGTGTTCTTAATGACTGTGGAAAAGATCTCTGCACCTACCCCTACTTCTCAGACTCCTTCCTCGGGTGACTGTTTGCTACTGCCAGAGATACAACACTGAGAAACCCAGAGGGGATAAACCCTCCTCGTGTCTCATAGCAGAAAGGGCTTTACACAGGCCTTACACCACAGCTAATGCACCCAGCACACACCAGCTCCCACCAAGGATCCCTGCTCGGACACGGCGTCCCGCTGTACCTGCACAGCCTGGTTACACACCTCTCTCAAACGAGTTCTTGATGTCGTTGACTTCCACCTGGGAGCCAGGGACTCTGAAGATGCCCTGCTGTTGGAGGCCTGGAAGAGAACAACACTTTAGGAGAGATTTTTGGAACTGCTGGGCAGTAGCTGCTGGTAAAAACAGCAGAACCCAGGAGTTTATGCACTGGAGAGGCTCAGAGCAAGTGGGGACAGTCCAATGTGCGTCACTGCTGCTCATATTCTCCAAGCAGGAACCCCAGATCAAGGTGCTGAAAGGGCTCATGTCCTGAGCAAACAATGTAACCTGGGTATGTGCTAATAAGACCTAAATATTGGCGACTCATCCAGTGCTGCATCGCAGCCAACGTGACTGGAATTCTAAGCTGAGCCCACGGAGCAGGGGCTGCAGGCACCCCCAGGCTCTCTGCAGGACCTCACTGCTCACTCAAGGGCTTTGTTCCTGGGCAGAAGGTCTCTGTGGATGTCCTGAGCCAACTCACCGTACAGGTTGATGTAGCGGATGCAGCTCTCTACGACAAGTGGAATGGCCTGTCCCGAATCCTTCAGGAAAGGCAAGGAAAAAAAGGACAAAATGACTGGTTTATTTCTAACAAAGCACAGGAAAAGTGTTAGAGATGGTAAAATCAGAAATTTGAAAATCGGTGCCGTGGAGTTTAGTAAGAAGACAGGCAAGGAAAGGAGATGTTACAGACATGGAGCCACCAAAGAGCGCTGAGGATACTGTGTGCAGCCAATAATGTACAAAGAAGCTGTCACTAAAGGTGTGTGAAACACTGCTGCTCCCTGTCTGGCTCAGACAGGGGACTGCTGCAAGGATCACAGCTGTTCCATCCCAAAGGTGGAATGCTGAGCTGAAATAAAACTTGTGCTATACCTAGCTAATGGAACAAGCTTCCAGTAACAGAGCTTACAACAGTATTTTCCACTGAAGGAAAGAGCCCTTGTCAGCAGGTGCTAAAAAACCCAACAAGCACCATAGTGTATGGAATGTGCTTGGGTCTGAACCAGAGATGAGTTTGGGCTTTTATTTCAAAGCTGTTTCCCCCCAGGTCCCTCATGGCAGAGGCTCAAGGGAAACATGGGCTGTGTCTGACAGCCTGAGTGGACACTTATTTCCCTTTGGGGCTCTGTTTGTTTTTCCAGCAGAGCACAGGGACTCCGGGCAAGTCCCTTCATCTCACAGACAGGCATCCAGTAAATACCTGATTCCTCATTCGTGCATTCCTCCTTCCTCTGAGCACACAAAAAAGCAGCAGAGTGGGAAAAAGAAAACAGATTAAGCAGGGATAAGTTCAGTTAGAGGCAAGCATCTCCTTCGGAGGCCATGAACGCTCAAATGCAACAGTAGCTTAGCAAGGGCCAACCCAGGCCTTTGGGATGTCCACCCTCCCTCCCAAACCCTTCAGCACACTGCACCCAGCCTTGGCAACCTGCAGGGACAGCCTCTCGGATTTCCTCCCTCCTTGAACCTGTAGCATTCCCAGGAGCCCGAGGACAAGGCCAGGCAAGTTTCTGGGAGAGCTGCCCTACTGTAGGGACACCTGGCAGCCCTGGGGGCACTGGGTGACATGGGGACCACCGGGCAGCCACCCACAGCCCTGCTCCCTACGGGGCCATACATCCCAGGGGTTGGGCCATCCCTCAAGGGGTCTCTGATGGCAGGAACACCCCTTGGCTCAGATGGATTTCTAGAGCACATAATTTCTCCTCCGCAGTGCTCAACAGGCTAGGCTTTAATGAGCATTACTTTTTTATAAACCAGTTTAAGTCAGGAGTAATCATAAGTCCTAAAGGGATTAGCAGCTTTGCCAGCAGGCCTGTACTCCCCATGCTGGGGTGCTGTGTACAGACACTGCCCTTGGGAATGTGGCTGAGCCTGAGGGAATAAACCAGAGCTGAACAATGCCTATTAGTCACCTAATCCAACAGCTTGTCATTATTGCTTCCTACACTGTTTTCACTAAAGCTTTCTCCAGCACAGGGTTAAACACTGCAACTGGAACAGCATCGCTGCCTTTGGAAATCCTTCCCGCAGTCGTGCCATTCCTTTCCAGGATGGGTGGGAGCAGCAGGACGATGGGGACACTCAGCCAGGACTGTCTCGTACTGCACTTGGCCACCGGCCAGCCCTCACTGCTACCCTGGCACAGGGGAGTGCACGAGGGGCAAGGGGAGCCGGGAAGAGAAATCGTCACCGAGGCAGAGCCGTGCTGGCCACGCCGGCTGGGGCAGGTGGCCGGAGGGACCCCCGAGGACAGCGAGCAGCCAGGACAGGAGAGCCACTGTTCCATTCCCAGCGTTCACAGACACTCCTGCCAGCCAGCGAGTACCTTAATGAACGTTTCCATATTGCCGTTAAAGAGTTTATGATTATAGACTGAGAGAGGCCTAGGTCTCCTCATTTTCTGTGGCTTAGGGGGAAGACATGGGGGCCTGGGAGAAAATGGAACAAAATAAGTCAACACAACACCAACATAAATGCAATGACAGGGTGAGATCTCAAAGGTTATGACTGAGCCTAAGAAATCAAACAGAAAAATCTCTCTGTGAGGACCTGGACAGTGGCTCCACGTGCCCTGCAGCCACTCACGCTGCTGTGTCACACACTGCAAACTGAGGGCACTGGTGCTCAGCAGGATTTTAACACCCTCCTCCATCCTCCACCAGCTCAGCACTCCTTCAGCCTGAAAAGGCACCAAGAGCAGCTAAGGATTTCAACTAGTTCCTTGATATATCCCAAATAAACCACAGCTACCCCTGGAAAATGCTGGGGTCTTCCCGTTTGTTGCTAAAAATCTGCTAAAAATTGCTGGATCTCATTCTTCTCACAGAAGGAGGCCAGAAAGAGGACAATAGGAACACCTCCATCTTCCTGTGTCTAACTTCCATTTGGGAATCCCAAGGATGGGAATCTTCTTCCCCTTTGCTAGGGATTGAGGGGCCTGTCTGGGACAGGGACAGACCCTGAGACCCTGCTTGAGATCCAGCCAGGGTAACACCCATCACTGCTGCAAATGAGGCCAGGGAAACCTGTGACGGGTTTCAGTGCAGTGCTCAGGGCTTTGGAGGGCTGCTCTCATTAATGCTATTCCCAGTCTGATTCCTTCGGATAATGAGGGACATTCAGAGCCTAGACCCAGAAAAGGGAGAAAAGCACCACAAAATCCCAAATGGATTTGTGCCCTGCCCTCTGCCCCAGGCTGTACCGATGTCTGTAGGGGAGAGAACACGACTGCACATACATCCAGAGCTGGGTGCTGGGAGCCCACATGCAAGAGCTCTCACAGGGCACTGCAGTGGTCACAGACAATTTATGCAGAGCTCAATGCAAAGGTGACGGTTGGGGTCTGCTGGTTCCTTAATCAGACGCCTCTAATTAAGCAACTCAACATTCCTACAGCTTCCAAACACTCCTCTGAGTGGCAGCTAAGGAGCAGAAGTGGCTGCTGCCTGTTGGAGCACCAGGGGAGCACACCCCTGGAGCTGTGTCCTCAGCCCCTAGCCATGACTGCACACACACCCAGCCATGACTGCACACACACACACCTGACACCCAGCTCAGGGTAGCTCCTCAGAGTGCTCCAGGGCAGGGACACACTGCACAGCCCTCAGTCTCAGAAGGTCCCTCTTGTCCCGACAGCCCCTCTCTGTCCTGATGCCCTGATGCCACTGGGCCTGGCACCAGCGGCACAAGGAGCCTCCTTCCTGCCTGGCAAGGCAGCCCAGGCTGCACCATCTGCTCCACCATTCCTAACAGCGAATGGGGCTTTTTTTGTTTGTATTGTAAATTTTATTACATGCTGAAACAAGGTTGGAACAAGCTCACACAGAGAGAGGCTGTCCATGTTCTGGGCAGCTGTTTGGAGGCTTTGCTGACTCATGTCTTGCTGTCAGAACACCAGTACACTCCTGGCAAGCCACTGGAGCTCTGTGGAGATGTTTCATGAACTGGACATGGATCAAAGCCTCCTTCCTGTCACATTCACCCCAGCACTATCTCCTGCTGTAGAGGGATGAAGCCTGTGATACAGGCACGCTCTGCACTCCCAGGCAAAGCAGCCAGAGCTGGGAGAGGCTTTCAGGGCCATATCAAAGTCCTCAAACCAAGAGGAATGGCAGGGAGTGGGTGGACACCCTCGTGTCACCCTGCCTGAACACAACCTGATCTCAGCCACGCTCCAGGGCACGGCACTGTGCTGACATGGCACGTCCAGGCACATCAGAGCCAGCCAGCCAGAAACCACACTGCAGCAGAACCAAGGGCCTGCCTGTTACCCCCTCATCCAGGCACTCCAGGCCATGCAGCTGGGAAGCAGGATGTGGGGCATGGGGACCACCAGCCTGCCAGCACAGGGGCTGGAGCTGGAAACTCTGAACCCCACCAAGCTGCACCAGTAGCAAAGCAAACCCCTCTTCCCACAGCCCTCCTGCCAGCACCAGCCCTCCCCAGGAGCAGATGAAGGGGAAGAAAGTGCTCACCTGGTTGTTCCGCACTCAGCTCTTTCACCTGCAAGAAACACAAGTTCCCATCATCCCTCCACATCAGCCACCAGTGCAGGAGCAGTACAGCACACCTGAGCAGGTGCTCACACCCTCACTGCTGGTTCCTCCACCCCGAGGTGACGGCTTCTGACAGAAAGAAGCTGCATTTGGGGAGAGGAGGTGCCCAGCTGTGCTACACAAGCCCCCATCACTAAAAGACAGATTAGAAAACCAAGACTCGGCCACGGGAGAGGGAAAGGGGCTGCAGTCCCCACAGACATCACTGGTTCCTTTGCCATGTGAAGCCCTCCCTGCCCATACCCAGCAGCACTACAGGCCCACAGCATGGGCTATGGGGCACCAGCCAGGACTGGCTGAGCCCCAGCAGGAACAGGGCAGCCTGAGAAGGGCTGGAGCCCCAGGGAGGCCAAGGGATCATCTGACTCCCAGGGGGCCACGAACAGCACCCGAAAGCAGCAGAGTATTCGGTTCCCCAGTTTCTCCTGGCAGATAACAGCCCATCAATCAGCTTTGAGCAGACTCTATCCTGGCTGTCAATATTCCCATTCCCTTTGTGTATTTTTAGTATTTGGATGTCATATAAATGCCAGCAGATCCCTGCTGATTAGATCTGTTCAATTTTTACAGTATTTGTCAATCCACTGAAAAAAACCAAACTAATTTCACATGCTGTTTGTGCCTCTCTCCCAGGGCCAGGAAAGCTGAGTTATACTTCCTTTGCTAAGACACATAAAAGGAAGCACTTGGCTGCACATGCCTCCTTCCTGCTCTCCCTTGGCACCTGCAGAAAGCAAGCTGGCAGCCAATTCCTCACTGAAACAGCAAACAACTCCACATGAGTGGTTTGCAAATCCAGACTCCTTCCTAACAAGAATCAGCTCACACTGAAATGCAGCATTTGGTATTTCTGGGCTAAATATTTGCTGAATGCCTACAGAGCAGAACAATCCCAAGGCCTGGGAGAAGCTCAGAAAGCTTCATGTAAGGATCTTCCACAGCTGCTTCTGCACAGCTCTAGTGAAGGAAATGTCTGACCCTGCATCTCCCTCCTGAGCACAGCAGCACGTGGCTCAGGGGTGAGAGACCAGGATGGTGACAATGAACCTCCCCAAGATTCCTCACCCCTTGCCCCAGTCCACAGGAGCCTGAGTGCTGTATCCCAGCCCTGTGTACATGCCCTGGAGCCTCCCCTGTGCTCACAGTTTGTGCCTGACTTGGTTCTGTGTTCATTGAGTGGAACACACCACAGGATCTAATTAGAAGGTGGATTTTAAGGTTAAATAAATTTGGCAAAGAAAACATGTTTGGCAAAACAGCTGACAAAAATCTATTATTTATTTGTTTTACTCTGAGATGAGGAGTCCAATTTTTGTATTGTTAAAATAAGGCCATGGACCATTTGCATGTTTTAATTTAAATATATTCTCTCCTGTTGGGAGAATCAGGACACCAACTCATCTCCATCTTCCTTACACTGGAAATAATTCAGTTGGTTTAGACCCTTTAAAGAGCTAAAATCTTCTCCCAGGGCTGTGGTGGCATCACCACTCCAGCAGTGGTGGGTCCCACCTGGAGCCACTCGCTGCCCTCTCAGAAGCCACTGTCCCTCTGCTGTGTGGAGCCTGTCTGTGTGCAGCTGCTCTGAACCACACTGGTGAGATTATCTGGGGGAATAAAAGTCTCCTGAGGAAAAACTGGTTTAAAAACAAGGATGTCCTTGCAGTTCTTGTTTAGGACAAGTTAAAAAACCCATGGCTGGGGACAAGGGGCCTGTTAAATCAGCAAGGGTGCTGCAAATGTGTGACACAGACACACAGCATCAAGGGCCAGGAAATACCTGTGTCAGGGCTGCAGTGAGGGCAGGAGAAGGGGAACAGGAACTAGAGAGGCAGAGAATGGAAGTAGGTGGGAATCTCTGCTGCTGAAGAAGTAACTCAGCACTTCAGTATCAGACTCAAAGAGATTTCTCTATGTGCACTCCCAAAGAAAGGTGGGAGGAGTAATATTCTAAGGAAATCATGATTTTTACATGTAGCTCAGGTGAGCAGCAGCAGCCAGACACAGACCCATCAGTCACTGAAGAACACACAGAGGTGAGGCTGACAAGTGACACCTGGTTTAAACCCTCTCAGGAGATGGAGGCTCCTCCCCAGATCTGACCCCAACTCACCTTCTCCCAGGGTCTGCTTCAGCAGGTCGTGTTTAGCCTGCAGCTTTGTGATGAGGTTACTGCCATTCAGATACTCCTTAAATTTCTGTAATTACAAAACAAACAAGGTGGGTTATGCAATACAGCCCATAACTGACGTTCACTGTTGCCTGGGGCCTGCTGGAGGGGGATTGGGCTGCCAGAGGGGGCTCAGGAGTCTGTCAGGCTCAGTCTGATCACTTCTCCCTGCTCCAGTCACTGGCCTGGTGATCTTATTTGCCCAGTCTCCTTGGTGCTGCACCTCCTGCCTGGGAATGCAGGGAGGGCCAAAGAACAGAGTTCAAAGCTGGCTTTCCTTTGTCATGCTTCTGGGAATGGCCTGGGAAATCAAAGAGGCTTTCCCTGCAATGCCAGTGCTTCGCCTCTGTGCAAAAGCAATGCCGAGGAGAACTTCCAGAGCCTGAGCCCTCCCAGGGCAGGGACTGTCAGGTGCTCCCTGTCTGGGTGACACTATGCAGCACAAGCTCCCTTCCCATTGTGAGGCTGTAAGACACCCAGGAACACTCCAGATGAGGGCATTATATAGGTAAGAGGAGAGAGGGAGGCAGATATGGAAAAATGAAAGAGAATGGGAAACATCAAATTTCTGCAAAAAGCATTAACATAATCCCAAGCACAACTCCAAATGAAAATTGCAATTGCCCCACCCCACCTCAATTTGTAATATTACTACTATTAAGAGAAACTCGAAGCTTTTCTACACATATGTAATGCATCACAAGATGCTGTTAACTGTAGTCTATGGCCCATGCTGAAATGAGGGTCCCTGTTGAACTCATGGCTCTTCCTTGCATTTCAGGTACCAGAATGAAGACCTCAACTCTGCCTGGGAGTGCAGCACAGGAGCAGGGCAAGCACACACAGCCCCTCTCCTGGCACATACTCCACAGCCCAATGCCCCATAGCCTGGCTCTCGTGGCTTCCTTGGGGTGCACGTGGCTTCAGTTCATCCATGGGCCAAGGGCAAATTTCAGCTGTGCAGGATAGAGAGGGAAGGCCTGGCTGATAGTTCACAGTCCTGAAGGCCTCTAGGAAGAGCCCCTGGAAGGTGACACACAGCCAGAGGCTGCGCCCTGCTCTGAGCCTCTCCTACGGTGCTTGGTAAGTTTTTGGTCACAACTGGTCACTCCACTTGTTCCTTCAAAGAGAAGAATGAGGCAGATCCTGGGCTGTCAGTCCCTGTGCACTGCCCTGCCACTGAAATGCACTGAAATGCATTCTGGACCCAACTCTGAGAGAAGACAAGCACTTAAAGAGACTCAGTTGGTTCTTGCTCTTCACTAACGAGCACTTAACTGGGTCTCAGCCCTGGCAATTAATGCTTTGTGTCCTGTACAGCCTGAGCTGGGACTCACTGAGAAATAGAACATTTCTGTCTCCTGCTGGTTGGCTCTCCTCTTGGCGATGTTGATTTTGCTCATGTAGGTCTCCGACGCAGCTGATTTGACGGACTCAGTGGAGCGGCTGTGCTGGAAGGCATCTGAAACGTCAAAATCTTCCACTGTCAGCATGTCCTGCAAGGTCTGCATTGTGGCATCCAGCGTTTTCCGTACCTGTGGGAAACAGGACAGCGTGGGTTTGAAGCAGACTGGCAAAGGGACACATCTTGGACCAAAGCAACCAAGAGAGCTCCTGAGCCCTGGGCTTGCGCTGGCCGTGGTCTGTGGGCACTCCCAGCTCTGTTTCAGGAGGGTTCCACACCTGAGCCCACCAGGAAACCCCCGGTGACGGGAGAAAGGCTCAGCAGTGCTGCCCGTGAGGCCGAATGCGAGACCCCTCTTACCTCTTCGTTCTCTATCTTGAGGGTGGCCAGTCGTGACTGCAGCTGGTGGTACCTCATCAGCAGCTCGGTCTGCACAGGCTGCTGGGCGCTCACCTGACACACCTGACACAGGAGACACTCCGTGGGTCATGCAGGCACCACACACACATTTGCATACCCATACAATTCCCTCCAGCCCCCACAAGCTCCTGGCAGCCTCCACGGAGGCAGCATCGCCCCATTTCCCATCAGCAGTGCCCTGGACCTGGTCCAGCACTGAGCATTTTCTACCCCTCACTCTGCCATCTCCCAATTACAGCAGGTAAATCAAAGCTCCGCTGTACAGATCTGTGGGGCAGAGAGAGCCAAACCACAGGCTCCCTAATTGGGAGAGACACAGAGCAAGAGGCAGCCTGAAAGGAGAAACCCTAATGAGCCAAGAGTCTCATTAGGAAAGGAAACACGAACAGCAGTGTGTGAAGGCAGCACGGAGGGATAAAGAGCCCAGAACAATTTCACAGTGATAGTTCAGAGGAGGGGAGGCCAGGCCAGGCCCCTCTGCAGCCCCACAGGAGAGCCCGTTACCTCATCCCCCATGTGCGGCTGGAACTCGAACTTGAGTGGCGGGCAGAAGACCTGGTTGCACATGTCCATGATGGTGTGCTTGTCGCTCCGTGCATCCAGGTTGTCCACAGCATTCTCAATGATGTCCAGGCCCTCGTGGCGGGAGGTTTCCAGGTTGTACTCGGCAGACAGGTACGTCCTGAAGGTCCGAGCAAGGCTGGCGTGGAACCCCAGATCACAGCACTGAGAGACACCAAGGGAGGGTCTGCTCACACAAGCACTCCCAAACCATTTTCCAAAGTTCTCAGACACAGAGGGATGTTAAAGCAAAGTGGCACTGGACACCGTGCCCTGCAGTGTGTGCACACCCTGCTCCCTCCCTGGGCAGCTGCCTGCCTCCCACCACGGAGCAGCTCCTCATGCATAACTGATCACTCTCATGTCTACCTTGAGGAAAATGATAAAACTCAGAGCTAATTGCTGCTAAAATACTGTACCTTAGACAAAAGCCTCATTTTAAACTCCTCACTCTAACTGAGTCTGGCATGTTAAATGTCACACCAGCACAGGGACTTGCTGCTCTGAATGCTCCATCAGAGCTGAGCAAGAAGCAGCTCCTGGCAGCCCTGTGCCAGTCCTCTCCAGAGCCTGACCCAGTGCAGGGCTCCACAGGGCTCCAGGCCCACCAGCAGCAAGCAGGCGACCCCAGGAGGGGGGCAAGGACAGAACTGAAGCACCACCCAAAATCTGGAGGTTGACAGATGTTGTTCTGCAGGGAAAGGCGAGACAGAGGATGCTGGAAGCAGGAAGAGCAGAATAGCAGCACCTCAGCCTGAGCCACGCAGGGCTGGAAGGAGAGCACAGTGCAACAGAAGGGCTGCAGTCCAAATCTGAAGCACATGTATTTCTGGGACATAAGAGAGGCTGGAGCTCCTGACAGAGGATGTAAAGTCAGATAACTACGGCAGAAACAGAGGGACCCTGTGAGAAACACCTCAAATACCTCCCACGGCCACAGCATCAAACTAACCACTGCCAGCAAATCACTCCTATCACATGAAAACTGCCAGAGGACAATTTCTACTGCAGAAGTTAAGCTGCTTTGCTGCCACACAGTGTAGTCCCACCACAAGCACTGCTGGAAGGACCAGCATGGCACAAAAGCTATAGGAAAGAGGAGAAGGATTGCACTGCAATTCCAGTGACCCAAATGAGCCCAACTTTTCTGCAGAACTCCCTGTTGGGAGCTGCCATTTCAAAGGCACCTTCTCCAGCTCTGGGACACCCACAGGCACTACTGAACCAATGCAGAAAGGCACAGAAAGTGATTCTGCATTAGAATGTCAGTATTCACAGAATCACAGAATCACTGTGGTTGGAAAACACCTCCAAGATGATCAAGTCCAATCTTTGATTAATCAACACCTTGTCAACCAGACCAGAGCACTGAGTGCCATGTCCAGGCTTTTACACTTCCAGGGATGGTGACTCCACCACCTCCCTGGGCAGCCTGTTCCAATGCCTGACAACCCTTTCTGTGAAGGCTCAAAGTGAAATCTGAAAACTCAGCTGCCACAAGCAGCTCCAACCCAAGAAGCCGTTTTGTGCTCTGTGCTGATGTGAGGAGACACTGCTCAGCTCGGATCACGTCACGGCAGGGCTGTGTTTGGTTCAGTCTCTGCTAAAAGCAGCATCAGCAAAGCCTCAGGGGGCTGATTCCCAATTTCCCCCACAGGTACCCGAGCGAACACTCCTGTCCCCTTCTAGTCTTTAAAAGCTGTGAACCCCCCTGTGCAATAATGAGTTTTGTAGAAACTATCGAATTGTCATAACCCTCCACTTCTCCTGCTTCTATTTAGCCTCTAATCCTATTAGCTGAGAGTATAGGCAGTTATGGACTGGCACAGCCTTGCCTTAAAAAAAATAACAAACAACACAAAAAGGAGGAAAAGACAAATTTCCATTCACCACCTGGGGCAAAACCTCATCCTGTGCTGTCTCTCTCATGGGACAGTTTTAGCATGAACACCCGTACATCTATTGTACGGAAACCCTGGAGCCAGGACGATGCAGCCCAGGTGCTGCCAGGCAGACAGGGCAGGGACCAGGGCTGGGACCCTCATGCCAGCACCAGGGTAGGACCAGCTCTCCTGCCACGACCAGCCGACCGCAGTCCTGCGCCCCGGGAACGGGACCACGCTGTTCCCCAGCACCTCCCAGACCTCACCAGGGTTCTTCCACTCCCTGAAATCACAGCTACTTGGCTACAGAAAACAGTGCCAGGAGGAAACAGTGCCACTGTCTGAGGGTAGGAGTTCCCAAAGCACACAAAACGGATCCATTACAAAGGCAAATCACCAGATGCCACAGAACCCAAGGAGACGGGCTCAGGGCATTGACAGAAGCTTTTGGGAAAAATTCCATGTGAAATCTTCCCTTTCCTTTGCTGCTGGGCTCGCACTGAAGCCAGTGGTGACTTGCACTGCCCAGAAATCAGCTGCTCCTGAAAAGCAGGGCAGGCACTTCCTGCACACAGCACAGCCCTTGAAGTCCCTGGAGATCAGCACCGTGCCGGCTGCTTCACACACGGGTGCCCAGAGAAGAAAAGACAGAGCAGAGACTTCCACACAATTCCCAGAGGAACACACAATGGGGAGGGCAGAAGAAAAAGAAAAAGACTTCAAACTGCTGCTCCCAGCCCCAGAACAAATGGCATTTTCTCAGCCCTCTCATTCCTTTGATGGCAAATAAATTAGAACCACAAATAATAATCCCCAGCCCTCCTGCAGCGCCTTTCATCTGCCGAGCTCAGAGCTCCCCAAGCATTAATTCATCACGTCTGGTAACACCCTGTGAGGGGTGGAAATATCCCAGTGTTCCACTTGAAAAACAAACCGGCTCCTGGAGCTCAGGCAAGCTGGGTTTGGCCAAAACACTGCAAAAGCAGCCAAATACATGTGTGCCTCCCAGAGCCCACCCCAGAGCTGCACTGGGGGGCAGTTTTGGGCTCCAGGGAGAAGGAAATGCTTTCCCAGCTACTGATCCCTCTGCCTCATTTCCTCATGGGTTACACAGTGGTCTGTGGCCCAGAAACTTTGAGTCCCTCTGTTATTTGGGAGGCTGAACCTGCACACGACACAGCTCAGCCAGGCCCACGCTGAGGCCACCAGCACCAATGCACCTCACCTAAGCAAGTGGCCACCCCAGAGTAACCCCAGAGCACCCACAGTCAGTGACCCCTGTCAGTGACCACTTCACTCCCCATGCAGAGCAGTAATGCCTCTGTCTCCACAGGACCCAGCACTATCTGCAAACAAACAGCCTACTCATTTGCTCTGCTCCTTCTTTTCCACATTTTTCTTTATGCTTTATTTAAAAAATATTCTGCATTATTTTTAATTATATGCATAATATATAATAATATACACATATTGTAATTTCTAGCCTCTACTCTCTTGATGTTGCTTCAAAACCCAGAGCTGAATTGTGAGGCAAGTAAATCACAGAATCCCAGACTGGTTTGAGTTGGGTGAGACCTTAGAGATTATCCAGTTCCACCCCCCTGCCATGGGCAGGAACACCTTCCACTAGCCCAGATTGCTCCAAGCCCAGCCCAGCCAGGCCAGTAAACCCAACTGAAGATTTCTGGCATAACTATTTTGACTGATGTTTCTGTTCCCTAACTTGACTCAGCTAATTTTTCCAGGAACCAAACAATTTGGCAGTTATGTGTAACATTAAATTCCTCAGAGCTCCCCTCCTTTCCCCGCTTGTTTGTCTCGGATACAGCAAACACTACTCCATAGGGAAGCAAGCTGCTGCTCCAGAAGGCCTCAGAGGAGGCTGCACACATTTTGGCAGATCAGCTTGTATGGCTGCTGACTGTTCCCTTCTCTCTGCTCAATCTGGCAATATCTTTCCTGTGACCACTTCAAACTATCTTGCAGCCATTTCCCACAGAACTCCAGAGGGATGGATAAGCAGCTTTATCTCCACTTCACATACGTGGCCAAAGAGATTAACTTGGTCACACAGTTAATGACAGAAATGAGATGAGCCCAGGCGTTTAAACAGACACACGTGTCGTCCAAAGAAAAAGGCACCGTGGTGCACTGCCAGCCCCAGGCTAATTTGATCCATCTCTGTATTCTTTCCTTCCTTTCTAAAGGACAAAACAACGAGGCCACTGGAGACAGAGGCACAGACGGCTCCGCACCCCTTCACGACTCCTCTGATGGGCTTTACAGTTCTCATTAAACCGTGGCCCTGGAGGCCTCCCACCCTCTCCCGGAGCAGCTGGGACCCTCTGCCTCGCCAGGGCAGCGATCAGAGCACAGCTTTGTCACCAGTCACTGCTCCGTGGTGACGCCCAGGGCGCGAGCCATGACAAGGCTGTGCCTGATAGATGACACTGAGCCAGCTGGGATGGGGGAAGCGCTGCTGACTTGGCTGCTGCCAATTCTGTCCTGGCGGTTTGGATTTGTGTGAAATCAGCTGCTGCATGTGGCCATTTGTGCTGGAGATGGAGGGCGTGGCAAGAGCCCCCTCTTCCCTCCCATGTCCAGAAAGAGCCTGGTGTATCCCTCACCATCCCGCAGGGACACAGGGAGGAGGAGCCTTGGGATCTGTAACTGTGGGATCTGTAACTGCAGCGCGGGGACACACACGACACGCACCATCCATCGGGGCACCTGTCAGGCCCCAAGCTCTGCTCTCCCATCCAGCCCCTTCTCACCCACACTCTTCCCACAGACTGCTCCCTCCATGGGCTCAGGTGTCCTACACAGACCCCCTTAAGCACTCGTGGGATCTGGTGGCTGAGACCCCACGACTGGGATCCCCTTCTGGAGCTGCTGAAGCCCTTCTGGTCACACCCTTGCAAAATACACTGAATTTGTACAAAAGCCTGTTCAGATAAACTGCTCTTCCTCTGGGGATTTAGAACCAGGACACCCACGTGCAGCTCACACATCCAATATTTTGCTTCTTTAGTGAACAGAATTTACAACCTGGGGAATTTCCCTGCTCCGAGTTGGAGATGCTTTAGTGAAAGTCCCCAAAGGGATTCCTGGAGTGCAGGAGAAAAGCCATCTGCTGACTCCAGTGGAAGTGTCAGCGAGGAAATAAAGTTGGGAGGAATAATATAAACAGCCAGAGCTAAAGTGGAACTCAGCAACTCTCCAGGAAATCAAAGTCTCACAAACTCCATGAAAATAAGTCATTCTTGCTTTAAAATAAATAAACAAGAGAAAGAGAGAACATACACAGCAAAAACAGAAAGCCCACAGATAAATGAAGGTGTTCTCACACCTTGCCATTCAAATGACTCCACAATCAAGCTACTAGTTCTCTAACACATCTTAATAAAGAGAACAAAAGGAACTAGTAAGAATATTTTATCATATCTCAAAATCTCAAAGTCATCAGAGGTTTTGCATCAGACTTCATTAATTCTCAGAAGAGTAACTACATGTTAGTGGGTTAAGAAAGGAGATAAAAACTCAAGCACCTTTTTAAATTGTGCATTTAGGTAATGATGGTAACTCAGTGCTTGGAGCTCAGTTATTTATGTGCTCACTGAGGCAGAAGAAACTGCATTGTGCGATCTGCACACTGTGGGATGCCCGTTAAAGGAAGAAACCAGAACCTCTTCTCTGGGTGAATCCCTTATTTGAATCATCTCAAAGCAGTTTGTAGGAGTCACCAACACACACACATTCAGTTCCTGTCATCCCCATGAAACCAGCCTTCAGCAGTTCCTGCCCTGAGGCTCTTCCCTGCAAGGAGCACTGAGATAAAGCTCCCAAGGCACCTTCCCCAGCCAGGACAGCACTTCCACACGTACTGAACTGCCACCAAAGTTACCAAGTAGTAGAAAGAAAAAACCTTCTGTTTCAGCACCAAAACCAAGGCTGTCTGACCTTGGCAAGTGTTTCTGCCTCAAATACAGACCAACTGCTGGGCTCGCCTGGCTCATCCCAAGACAGATCTGAGTTACAGCACATCTTCAGCCCCAGTTAAGCGTATTTGAAAGACCCCCTGACACCCCCCCATCGCAGTTAGGGGCCCAGCCAGGCTGGGGGGCACAGGGGAGGGAGCACTCACATCGATGAGGTCGGACACATCGTGGATGTAGTACTTGCTGACGGCGGCGTTGGTGGCTGCCAGGTTCAGCAGGTAGTCGTTCCTGGCTTTAGTACACTTCAGCTTGTTTTCAGAATACTTGGCTTGTCTCTGGAAAAGCAAAGCAGAGTCAGAGCACAAACAGGATGGTATTGGCACAGCTTCTCCTGCCATGGGGCCCCACAGCACCCTGCAGACTGGGTGTGATGAGGGAATTAATAAAATTTGGTATTCGGGACAAAACAGGGATCTTGCCAGGGTGAAGATCCCACGTGAACATCCCTGGCACAGCCAGTCAGCCACGACAAGTGTGTCCTGCTCAGAGGTACCTGGAGCCCCCGAGCACAGCTGCTGCTGCTGCTCCTTCAGCTGCACCTTCGTGGGGGTTTTGGCATCAATCAAAATCAGAGGGACAGATTTCCCCTGCAGAAATACTGACATATGTTTGGACTTGCTACAGATGTGTGCAGCTGTATCAAAGTGGAATCTGGCCTAGAGGCCCAAGCAACACAATTTAGAACAGGACCCAGAATTCAAAACTCTGTAGGAAAGCAGATGTGCTCCAGATCCGGGACATCTGTTGAGGCAGATCCCTGCTCCAAAGGTTGAGTCAAAAGATTAACCCTTCCAAGAACTGCACTGCTACACATGTCCCAGCCTGTGAGCAAATGCAGCATGGCTGGGGAAGCTATTGCTTCTTCTCCAAAATTAACACAAAAACTGCAGTTGTGGAGATCCTGAGGCCGGGGAGATTTGCTGAGGCTGGAATGGTGTGAAGTGTTTTGCCTAGCAAAGCCATCTAAACCCTGCACTTTCCCTCCCAGACAGCCCACAGAGGAAGAACACTGGTATTTTATAGATCGATCCTTTTTTTTGCTGTCAGGAGTCTGTGACTGAGGGAATGCTGGGGCTGCTGTTCATTTTTAAAAGCACTTTTTTTAAAGAATCAGTCATGGACAAGCCCCAACTCCTCAGAGCAGGGTCCAGTGTCTGGATCACAATGCATCCCGAGCCAAGTCGGACAGCCCAAGGCACTGCCCTCCTCAGTGCAGCCTTCAGGGTCCCAGCTGGCACAGCCAAGCCCCCAGCAAGCCCCAGCTCAAGAGCTGCTGGAGGAGGTGCTCCCACCACCCCTGCCTGCCCTGTGCTCCATGAGCCATTGCCCCCAGGCCCCTCCAGCCACCCGTCTCTGCCCTCCCCTGGAGAGCCAGCTGGGAAGGTGTCACTGGTGGCCACGTGGCTCCCGTGTAGGTCCCCCAACCCCTCCAACGCTTGGTGTCCCTTGTCCTTGTTGGGCCAGCCTGACTTTGGATCAATTCCTTGACAGGAGCTGTTCCTGGCACTTCTCCATGGTCAGGTGCAGGGAAGAGACTCCTGATGGCCTCCCCAGGCTGCCCTTCAGCAGAACACGCACACGAGTCAACGTCCTCCCTAACCCCTTTCCAAGGGTACAGCAATGGCTGCATGGACATGGACAGGGCTGGAGCCAACACCCTGCCCACAAAGAGCCCCGACCCCAGCCAGGCTTCTCCACTCATTCCCTCTCACCCACCTTCTCTTTCATCTTCTCAATCTTCTTGACGGAGCTGCGCCGCTGAGGCCGGTCCTCGTGCCGCAGCAGGTTCACGCTGATATCCCCTGACTTGTTGAACTGCTTCTCCTCCTGCTTCTCCGCCTCCTTCAGCTTGCTCTCGGCGCTGATGCTCTCTGCGTGGTACATGTGGTAGGTCTTCATCACCTGCAGACACAGGAGGTCGTGAGCTGCCTGCCCGTGGCCACAGGAGCACCAGAGCAGGGGAAGCCACAGCCACGGGCAGCGCAGAGGGGCTGTGGAGGCCACTACAGCACTAAGGAGCAAGATGGGGAGGGAAAGCCTGTGAGATTAACCCCATCCCCAGCTCTACTTCCAGCAGCTCCAGGTTGGTGTAAGAACCACGATCCAGCTCGGTCCTGCTGTGGGGACAGGCTGAGACGTGTCCCCAGCACACACCTGCAGTCAAAGCACTGTGTGTCTGCCAAGAGGGAAACAAGGAATAACCTCCAGTGCTTTGCAGCTGGGATAAGGGTCTCCATGACAAGTGACTGTGAGGAGGCCACAGTGACCCTGAACTCCCTTTTGACCCAACACATCTGTTCCTCCACTTGGACTTGCTAAGACATCACACAGCCCCTGCTCCACCACCCTGACAGCAGGACCATCCAGAAGTAGAGGAGTTGCAATTCCCAAACAAAAATGGGGTTTGTCTCCTGTCACCACCTTATCCTTCTCTTGCTGCCGCCAGCAGGCACAGGCAGCACCAGTGGGTGCAGCAGCACCGTGTCCTTCACATTCCAGATCCAGGAGGGATGATGCTGATCCACTGCCAGGAACACTCTCTGCAGGTAAAACTTCCACCCTTGCAGCTTTCCCTTTCAGATACAAGGGCCCAAAGGGCACACTGGGATCATTTTAATGAAGCTGGCAAGAGGAACCCAACTGCTTCTCTCTCTTTATGCCTTCCCTCATCTCCCTTCCATCATCTCCCTCTGGGATGTGGATGGTTTATCTCACACTGCCTTGACACAGCCTGCAGGGCCCGACTGCTCACTGGGATCAGCCTCAGCAGGGCTGGGACTCACTGGGACTGGCTGGGACACCCCGGGATGGGCTGCCTGAGCCTCATGGGTTAAGACAGAGCAGGAACCCACAAAGGCAGAGTAATTTTACACAAGGCTTAATGAAGAAAACACAGAGTTTTCCTCAGCTGTGGCTGCCAGCAGGACCCAGGAGTGTTTGACTTGGACCAGGTCAGGCTGAGCCGCATGATCCCTCCTCCTGCCAAGCACAAACCTCGGCTGAAACGGGCTCCAAATGCCATATGGGAGCCACACAGGATGTGCCACCGCGGGGAGATGTGACTGCAGGCAATGGCAAGGGACAGTGAGCAAAGGCTCCTGCCTTGGCCCTGAGCTACTTCATTGCAAAACCCTGCAAATTATAATGCACATTCCAGCCATGTATTGCAAACTGCAGGTTCTGCAGCGAATGTCACAGGACACACGTAAAACAGACAATTCCCAGGATTTTCCCAAGGAGAACAATCAGAGGGCTTCACTGAGCCCTCCTTAACCTCACCATCTCCATCTTTTTATAAAATACTCAGAGGAAAGTGAAAAAGCAAAATGCTGCACACAAGGGCATCAGGCAGTAACAGGAGAGGTTTCTGCAGCACCCAGAGAGGCCCAGACACAACATGACAGAGAAGCCCAATGAATAACAGGGATCCAAACTGCAGGACTTTTGTGAAATCTAAAGGTTATGGGACTGTTACCCAACCTTAAACAGCTCACTGTGCACCTCACCAGCTGCCCTATCACACAGGTCATGCTTGGAAATTCAGGGGATATTTTTGTGTAATATGTGCCTTGATTTTGGCCGGGGCCAACGTGCACTGCAGCAATCGGCCCCCGACCCGCAATTCCCTCGCGCTGTCTCAGTGCCTGCAATCGAGTCACACTGTCCCTGCCTTGCACTGCTGTGTCACAAAGACAAACTGCCACAGCTGCGGCCTGGGAAGCTTTCCTGCAAATCAGTTAATTAGCTGCAGCGGAGGAGGAAAAATATGTTCCAATGTTCATTAGTTATTTAACAACACGAGCTGTGTTTGCCATATTAATTACACGTTCTGGATAAAGGCTGTTGCCAAAATAGCGGCCATAAATGGCACTGTTGGCTGTATTCAGCTGCAAGGGCTTTGTCCTTCTGAACAGCTCATCCCCAAGGTTCTGACCCAGCAGAGGAGCCAGAGCAAAAACAGGGTGACTGTGTCAGGCACAGGCTCAGGCCCATGAACATCCAGCCTGTACAGGCTCCAACTTGGTACCTGTCTGCTGCAGTCTGTAAGCAGGAACCAAAAGGATGAAGCTGGTTTTAATTCACAGCTGAACTGTTTCTGTGCAAAACCATTCACAAGCATCTCCACTTCAGAACAAAAGTCATCTGCTTCCTTTTTGATTGAAGTCAGCATGGGTTGGGTTTGGTTCTTTCCATACAGAGTCCACAGGGTGACTTGCATCAGAACAGCAACAAGGCTGAGCTAAAATCAATTTGGTTGCTTTGGCTTAAGTTTGAGACAGTGAATGCCTGAGAAGCCTGTAAAAAATTATAGTTTCTGCCCAGTGCACAGAATTCCCCTCAGAGAGGCTTAAAAAGCAGCTGGGCCAGGGCACGGATGTGCTGCAGTTAAAGACCTGGACAGAGACGAGAGAAGTGACTTCCCTGTGCTGAGAGCAGACAAGTGACGTTTCTCAAGCAGCATCCTGGTGTCCTGTGAGCCGGGTCCTTATCCTGTGTCTGGTTTCATCAGCAGTCACAGTTCTCGTGGGCACCCAACGTGCTGCACTGACCACACTGACAGCAGCTCTGTCCCAAAGGTGCCCCCAGCCACCCCCAGCACCTCAAGCCAGGGGTGCAGCCAGGCCTGTTTCACCTGGCTCAAGGACAGATCTCTGACCAGCACCAAGCAGACTTGAGGTGACCCTGTTTGCCCCACAGGCCCTAATTTTTCTTCATGCTTCATCATCATTTCTGAAGTGTGTCCCTTTCCTGCTCCTTCCCAGCTGGATGACAATTGGTTTGTTATCTTAGCAGCAAGTAAACACAAAGCTCCTTCAGCTGTTCCAGTGTCACATTCAAACCAGTGTGTTTCACCATTCAAACCCATTCTGCTCAGCACATGGAAAAAAGCAGTGAATGGGAGAAATCTCAGTTCCTGTGAGGACAAGTTTAGCCCCAGACCCAGCAGAAGCACAATTTCCCTCTCTGCTCCTATTGACCACTGCTCACACTTTGGACCTCAGCACACTGACCCCCCTGCTGACCCCAGCATGTCCCTCGGGTGATGCCCCTGCCTTGTGTCCAGGTCCAGAGCACACTGGCCTGCAGGTATTAAGGTCAGCCCAGCCCTTGTTAGTCTTTCCTTGTATTGCACCTGTCAAGATGCTGTTGTAATTAATCTTAATTAGTCACCACTTCTTGAGCTTGTGACACTCAACCATCAACAATGCACTCCCAAATCTCACACAGGCTTTTTAATCCGATCTGCTGTCCACCCACACTGCAGGGCTCACAACAACCAAATCCTTCAACAGCCATTGCAAGAACAAGCCTGTTAAGAGAAGATTTATGGCAGAAATTTCAAATACGATCCTTCATGCTCTCTTGTTTAGGCCTGTTTTTCAAAAAGATGGAATGGAATGATTGTTTAGGAATAAACCTGTTGCAGTGTTATTTATATACCAGTAACAGATACAACCAAAGAAAGCAAATATATTGTCTCAGTTTTTCAACGCAAGACAGACTTTATGTTGCTTTGTTGCTCCTAAACCACAAGTAAAATATTTTTTTTTTAAAAAGCAGTTGCTACAGGGCAAGAGACAGAAGCAACACAAAGAATTTTACTGTCCTGCTATGAAAACTTGCTTTTGAAGAGCCAAGTCCTGACTAACAGTGCACGATCTCACCAGGAGGCACAGACAGCTCCACAGCCAAAGTGCTCCTGAGAGCAGGAGATGGAGCTGAGCATCCATGAGCTAAACGTTTCCTGCCTTCCACAGCAGAAGGTCATGTTCATCCATTCCCCCCAGGCCACGGACTCACAGGAGCAGGGCAGGTGTCAGCAACAACAAGCACAGCCAGCTCAGAGCCACCAGGGCCTGGAAATCACCAACCAAGGCACTGAGAGGGGCCTGAAGGCAACACGGTGCAGGAGCCGCAGAGGGGAGAGTGTGACGGACACAGGGATCACACAGACCCCGCCCAGACAGCCCCAGGGACGCTGAAGGGAAGCAGCCCTGCTCCCTGGAGCGCTGTGGAATGCTCCAGATGGAAAAGGCCGTGTGTGCCACAGGATGGCCGGGACAGAGCCCCCTGAGCCACCCCAGGGCTGGACACACACTCTGCTCCAACGAGCGGCACCGTGGGCGCTGCCAGCCAGGCATGGGCACTGCTCACTGCTGGGCATGGGCTCACTGCTGGGCACTGCTCATTGCTGGGCACCCCCTCACTGCTGGGCACCCCCTCACTGCTCACCGTGTACAGCTCATTGGTGACTTTCAGGAGTTCTTCATGCATCTGCAGGCCAATCTCCTTACTCTGCAAGACAAAAAGAAAGAAGCATTGAGACTTTGTTCTGCCCAAAACATGTAGTTCTGAAAGGAAAAGATACTTTGGAGGGATTATAACTGTGAACACACAGCAGAACCTTGTTCTGTCTCAGAACTGCTGCGTTTTCATTTGAGGTCGATGTTTGCCCATGGATCACCCAACCTGGGTTTCAGAGACCACAAGGAAGAACATCAATCAATTTTACTTATTTATCCTGCAAAAGGGATCAATCTAAAATTTCAGGCAATACTGCTTTGCCCTTCCACTGGCAGAATTTATCTCCAGCCCACAGGCAACTCCCCCCGTGGGTCTAACACATAACACCCTCCCCCAGTTTGGGGTCTGGTTTCACATCGAGACTGGCACAGTGCACAAAGCTGGGCCCGCTCCACAGCCAGGGGTGTTTTAGAGCTTGACTTTGCCTATTTTTCAACAAAACCTGCCTTAGTGCATGTGGGTGAGTGGTTGCTGCATTCTCCAACTGAGCAAGCTGCGTGTTAGTGCTGCGTGAACTCCCCTGTATAACTTACATCATCCAGTAACCATTTGGGTACACAGATCCCTTAGACTGGCTTTCTCCAGTCCCACAGCATCACCTGTCAACCTGTCTTGATCTGATGAGACATGTTAAACACACTTGCTGCTGGACTTGCAATTTCCAGCCAACACTGGTATTTCAGAAGGAGGATTATCAGGGCTCCCCAGCCCCAGCATCCCAGATTTAGATGATCCTTGGCCATGACTCACCCTCCCCAGCTTGTTCTCAGTAGCTCATTTTCACTATTCTGACCTGAGTGAATGAAAGTATCTCTGAAAAGGGACATTTTATTACAAAATAGCTACACCACAGTTATATAATAAAGTTTCCAGTTTCACAACTGCAGCAGCCAAAGTTCAGCCAGCTGAGGAGATGCTTATTGCCAGTGAGTAACTCCTGGCATCCTCCCGTCTGCTGAAATCCCATTATCAGTCTGTGTTTTCCCTTTCCTTGCCAGGCAGGATGAAGCAGATCCAGTCATCAACCTCGCAAAGCACGGACATGGCACTTCTCAGAGAGGCCACAGTGTGGGGAGCTGCCCAGCGCTGGAGCCTGGCTGCAGATCAAGCCACCTCCTCCCGCACCCCCGCGTCTGGAGCTGCTGGGGGTGTGCTCACACTGCTTTCCTGCCTCCCTGTAATTACACCCCAAATCTCCACAATGAATCCTCTAGGCTAGGGAACACTTATTATAGCTTGAAGATGTGTTTAAACTAAGTATAGACACTCCCCTCCTCCCTCCCTAAAACACCACCAAACCAAACCCAAGCAGCTTCTTTCAGATTTCCTCAACTCCAGGGAGTTTTGTGCACACAGGAAGGGAAAACAACATCCCATCAGGCTGAGTGGTGAGAGAGGCCCACAACACAGAGAGGTCCTTTCAGCCAATGGGACAACCCACGTCCTTGTGAAGTTTAACCTTAGATTATTAAAAGTGGGAATCAAAGCGAAGCCTGAAGTAAAGAATCTAAAGAGTCAAAGTCCCTCGGACCCATGACCATCCAGTAACCACAGTGTATCCGTGAGCTAGCGCTGGGGTATCCGGGACAGTGCCATCCTCAGCAGTGTGACTGATGCCACTGCTCCCACTCCCACAGGCACGGGGTGCCAGGACGATGCCAAGGACCAGGAGGTGCTCGGTGCCCAGTCATCTGGAACCCTCATCTGGACTGAACCTCAGTCCCCATCTGCTACCCACTGACACCGGTGGTCACCAGTGCTCTCAGAAGTCTCACTGAGGCTTGCTAACACCAAGAGAGCTGTGACAGATCTGCACCCCCCCAGACACAGCAGCAACATGTTTGGAGACCTTCTCACTCTCTACAACTCCCTGACATGAGGCTGAAGCCAGGTGGGGGTCAGGCTCTGTTCCAAGGTAACAAGAGCCAGGACAAGAGGAAATAGCTTCAAGTTGCACCAGGGGAGGTTTAGATTGAATATTAGGGAAAACTCCTTCCCTGAAAGGGCTGCCCAGCCCTGGCCCAGCTGCCCAGGGCAGTGGTGGAGTCACCATTCCTGGAGGGATGTAAAAGCCACGTGGATGTGGCTCCTGGGGACGTGGGTTAATGGTGGGCTGGGCAGTGCTGGGGGAACAGTTGGACCTGGCAGTCTCAGAGGGCTTTTCCAACTCAAATGATTCTGTGATTCCAATACAAGTTATTTCAGTCAGGGTCTACAAACAGGGGTCTCAGAGCCTAGAGCCTGCAGGAGCTGAGTCACACACAGCCCCTCCAGCCATTCCTGCTTCCACAAGTCACTGCCCAGTCCCCAAACCAAGGCTTCCCAAAGCCAGCAGAGGAGGACAGGATGGGCTGGTGGCAAGAGCCATGGCCCAAGCTCAGCTGCAGCTCCTGCCTATGCCCTGGATTTCCTGCATGGTGCACAGCAAGGCCACAAAGCTGTAATTTCCAAGCCCAATTTTAGACTCCTAAATAGAGCAACACAAACTGGCTCAGTGTGTCATTCCGTGAGCCACACTGACATGGGGGACCATGGGTAGGAACCATGTTTAAAGAGCCATTTGCTTATAGACACTATAAACCAACACCCAGAATCCTGCTGCAGGAGACCAAAGGGTCTCTGGCATTGTCAGGAGTCTTCCAGCATCCAAGAGAGCAATGTCCAGCCTGGAGATGCTGGAGCCTCTTCCAACCGCAGGCAGGTGAGCAGCTGAAGGACTCACCACTTCTCTGAGCCTGCTGCCTGCCCTTTCTCTAAGGGAGAAATTACACGTATGGGCTTACAGGACTCAACACCAAAACATCATTCCACTTACCTGGGACCATCTGCAAAAACCAAACTCCAATTTAGCTGCTTCCTTTATGCCTCCAATTCCTCCGAAAACACAGCTCCTCACTGGGACAGCAATGGCTTCAGGTTAGCAGTTTAATAAAATTCCTGCCACTGCCAACAAAGTAACAGGAAGCAGCAGCATGGATGACTGGCAGTGGAGGATGCTTATTCTACAGACAAAGACAAGAATTCCCATCCAGATAGACACCACTTCTTCACCCAATGTCCATCTTGGACACCACGGCACAGAATTAAATTTACAGTCACGACATGGAATTAAATCCCAAACTGGGGACTAACGCAGCATCATTACTTTGGACATAGTGATGCTCTGTCTCAAATCTACAATTTCCTGTATTCTGTACTTGGAAGAAGCTTTAAACTTCCTTCCTTCCACCACAGCGAGAGGTAAGAGGGGAGAAAACACCTGCCTGGCCATGGGTCCCTCAGCCTGGGTTTGGCTCTGCCAGGAGGATGTGCTGGGAGATTTCGTGGTGACAGAGACTCACCCTGACAGCAGATCGAGCCAGCTCTCCGCAGGGACACATCTCAGCATCCCCATTTATCACTGCCTATTAGCAACATCAACACACTCGCCTTGATCATTGCCTCCTGCACCAGGAATGTGACTCACACTGGAAGCTCCAGGGAAACTTGCCCAACTGAGTTTTCTTCCTCTGCTTTGCTCCCAGAGCGGTTTGTGCTGGAAGGGTTCCTGGTCAGCCGCAGTGAGAGGCGAGTCAGAGCCAATGCCCGGACTGGCAACGGAGGGGCAGAACACTTGGGTGGAGAGGAACAAACTGCAGTGCCCCAATTTACTGAGGAACAACCCCCCCAGCTCATCCAGGGCAGCTGGGGGAGCAGCAGCTCAGCACCCTGCATCTTTCTTGGCACACTACCATGGCACTGAGCAATTGCTCCTCAGTTATGCTCACCCTGTACCTCAGCAGTCCCTCCCCGCTGCTTTGCCGGGATTGTTTACATTTACATAATGAACGAAGGAAACACAAAACCTCCCAGTTCCCCGTGTCCCCACAGCATGTCACAGCCCGTTAATAAACTCTAGGTGGGGGGAATTAAAAGTGACATCTCCGGAAAAAAATGTTACCCTAATTTACCATCAAAGAACAATCTCCAGCACACCCAGCAGCTGAACCACAACAGCGGGTGCTTTAACCCTTCCTGAGCCAGATCATCTGCCAGCAGCCCCGTGGGCACAGCCTCCCCAGAGAAGCACTTTGAGCACTTTACTTAGCACAGAACCAGACCAGAGAGAACAGTGAAAGATCCCTCCTCTGAGCAACCTCGTACACTGCAAGGCTGGAGGGATGTCTTCAAAATCCATTTACCAGGATGCTCCTATTCCCACACACATGCCCAAGGCATCCCACCAAACACTACTGGGAAGTGGGATCCAGATCCCTCTGGATCCCGGCAAGGCGTGCCACAGGTTGAGAAAAATAAACAGCCTGAACAACCCCAAAAGTGGCAGCCTCTCCTTTCCACATGGAAAGGGAAACAATGACACAAAATAAGCCTTTTCCTTGATTTAGCTGAGCATTATTTCCAGGGACAGGTGAGTCCAAGGGTCAAATGTGGTGGAATCAGAGATCCCCACACCTGTAAAGGCTCCTTTGGATGCAAAGCCGGTGCTGGCTCTGGCAGGCTGTAGATGGAGTCACACCAGCTCCCCAGTTAGAAGATGGACATGGAGGAGGGAGAAACAAGGAGCAACCATTTCTATAGGATGTAAGGGTTGAGCCTTAAAAGCTGAAATTTAGGTTCAGAAGAAAACCTATTACAAAGAAATAATTCTGCTGAGTGGGTAAAATACTTCGTCATCTTGTCCTGGCTGAGGACTGACCTACTATGAGAGAACACTGAACACTCCATGGGTGTCCTTGTTTGAATGCTGACTGGATTTGTCCCGTAGTTCCGCATGGGACACCATCCACACACATGGGCAGAAAGACAGTCTTAACATACATCTCAAAAACAGGTTCAGAGCAAAATGCAAATGGCAGGAAGACTTTGAGACAGGCTTAGAACTGAACTAACCAATATATCCCAAATGTCTCAAATTTCTAGAGGCCTGAAGGACAGGAAAAGGGATGATGTCCTATATCAGATCAGCAAACCCAAGCCTGACCTTGCAGTTTAATTTCTAGGTCAGATCTATAAAATAGAGGAAACTGGCCATAAAAATATCACATGAGATTTACTCTCCAGTCAGGCTGAAATTTCAAGATAAGCCCTGATTATGAGCCTTCTCCTGCTGGAGAGCCCTGTGGGCTTGCCCTGCTCCCTCACTGCAGGCTCCAGATGTCCTGGTGACAAGGGACAAAAATTAAGGAAAACCTTAAAGTCACAGAGCCAACCCACTGCTGGGACTCTTCATTCCTTACCACACTCCCCCTCGCTTTCAGTGAAGAGTCCTGGTCCACCTGACTGTGAGATTCCCACAGGTATATGATGTTTCTTTTTATTTGGTTATTATTAATAATTCTGTATCTGTCATCTTACCCTTTACCCTTTTTCCAAATAATTTTTTAGGAACTGCACTGACATTCTCCTTCCTTCTGTTCCCTGTCTTTTAGTCAGTCATTAATACAGAAAACAACCACACCTTACTCTTCAACAGCTCTTCAGGAACTTCAATCTTGCCCACTGAAGGCACTGTGCCAGCTACTGACACGATCCCTGGCTCCTGGAAATACCTCCACCAGATTTCTGAGGCATGACTCTTCCCTTCAGGAAGCCATGACTCCTCTCCTGTAGCTGCCTCATGCCTGTCATCCTGCTCTTTACCACGGTTCCACCCAACAAGCCTTTTGATCTGTCCTGTGAAGGCCTCCAAGAGTCTTTAGGAAAAGTCATCACAGTTCCACCTTTCATCTCTCCGGCACCGACACCACTTTGAGCACCAGGTCACACCTCACTGCTTGTCACTTGCCAGTTCTAGATCTGTTTCTTTAAAACTCTTGAATAAATATTATCTGGAAAGACTTACAGTGATAGTCCCTCAAAAGGTTTGCTCTGCAACATCTATGATGGTTCCACTTTAGATTAAAATGCCAGGATGGACCCTCAGTGAGCAGGACTCCCCCCAGCTGCCCGGGTTACCTTTTTAAAGAGCCTGATGACATCCTCGCTGATCTGCGACAGCCGCACGATGACGTTGTTCATGAAAATGTCGTTCAGGGTGGCGTGGTCTCGGCTCTCCCGCCGGGTCTGCGTCAGGACCAGGTACCAGCAGTTCACAGGGGAAAGGAGGTGCTGATCTTTTCTGGGGAATTGGGGGGGAAAATGACAAAGGTCAAGTGAACAAATCAAAAAGGCACATACTTTCAAATGAATGCTGCCAGCACACCGCCTCCCTCCCCTGCACACGTCCCCTGGGATCTGTCACGCCCACAGAAAGGTGCACGATCTCTTCTTCCAGCTGTCCAAGCGCTGCCCCACAGGGATGTCCAGTGGCACACGAGCATGGGAACCACACCAGCCCCCCAGTCAGCCAGCCCCTTCCTGCACTGGGTGCTCTGGAAGGTGGCACAGGAGAAGAGACATCCCTGGCAAGGAGAGTTTGGCTTTTTCTTTCCACTCATGCTATGAAATATGACTGTCAGTGCCCACTGCAGGAGGTCCCGTTTGCCACCCAATCCACTGGGCTGCTTTTAGTGCACTCAAAAGTGTTCAAGAAAGGGTTCTGCATCCAAAGTTACCCCCAAGTGTCTGTGCACAACACGAACACGCTCAGGTGTGCTGGAGGGGACTCCAGAACACCTCTGTGTGCGTACACAGATAGAACAACCACATACAGAAATCTGGATGAACCTGGATGTGAACTGGAATCAGCAGGAGCCGCAGCAGCACAGCGATTGCCAGCTCCAGGGCTGGGCACAGCCCGCTGCACACGGCGACACAGGGACAAAGGAGCACCACAGGGACTGTAATTCTTATGAGTGCCACAGCCTCAGCAGAATAATGACACACATGAGCAGCTGGGGAAACAGCACAGATGAGCCTGGTAAGGGCAGGTACAGAGCAGCGAGGAAGAACAAAGTGTATGAAGGGAGTCTCTCAACATGGAGTGGGCAGTGAGGACTCAGCAGGAGCAAGCACTGAAATCCAGCTGACCCAATTAACACCATCACCGCCAGCACTTGTGCCCAGGTGTTTAATAAAGGTGGACAATCACTGTCACCTGTGGACACTGCACAGCAGCAGCTTCCAGAACTGTGAGCACACCAAGCAATGGAGAGCCTTAACACTGCTCTGAGCTAGTGGGAGAGGCCAGACAACCCCCGAGCCTTCGTGAGCTCATCTCTGAACCACAGCTCCTTCCTTCTCCAGGACAGTTATCCCTGACACAGCACCCAGCACCACACAACTGACACACAACAGCTGCATGCCAAAAGGACAGCAAGGATCTGAATGGCAACTCAGCAGCAGCAGAGTTTGGCATAAGACACCAGCAAAGCCTCACTCGCTGGAGAGACCAAGTAAACAGATTAAATGGGATTTAGTAATATAGAATAAATAGGATTTAGTAACGTAATAGCAGAAATCACTGCTCTTGCAGCTGAAATGGGAAAAAAAATCACAAGGAGTTAAAGGAAGAAACAGACTGTGAAGAGCCCAGGGCTGGCAAGGCGAAGGGCATCAGACAGGCAAACCTCTCCCAGGTTCTCTGGGAAAGGCGCTGAACAGTGGCTGCAGTCTTTGGCCACTGAACTGAATGGCACGAGTTTCATCTGGAGCAAAGGGCACAATTCCAGTTGAGAGATTCTGTCATGGACATCACTGGCAGAAGAAGAGTCAGAGGCCTTGCTCCAGCCCAGGGAGGCAAAGGTGGGGAGCTGGGGCAGCCGTGGTGCAGGGGAGCAGCCAGGGTGCTGCAGGGGCTGCCATGTGGCCCCGGGCACAGATCCTGCCGGGCACATCCCACGGCTCCGCCAGTGCTGCCCAGAGAGATCCTGCGCCCCAACAGCACCAGGAGAGCTGCTCATGGCAAGGGACACAAGAAACCCTGACAGCCACTAACAGCCCGTGCAAGCGTTGAGCATTGTTCGAGCCAGCACACTCGGGGACGGGCAGGGAGCAGGGACCAGCCCCCAACAGCAACAGGGCAGTGGCCTTCACCCGAGCCCTGAGGTCACCAGCCAGTGAACACACCAGCCAGCACCCTCATCACAGACTGCTCACCTCCAGAATGAAATTCTGCCTCAAATTTGTTTTGCTTTCTATTTTTTTTCAGATATTTTCTTGTTTAGCCAAGCTCGAGAGTATGGTTAAACTGAAAAGAAGCTGCTTTTGAAAACACATATTCACACATCCACAGATTTCACAATTTGCATCATCGGTTTCATTCTCACACAATCCCAGCATCCAGTTCATACTTCCTATTTCAAAGCTTTGTTTCACAATATTTCCATTAAGGATTTGCCTGGCTCCAGCACCGCAGGCTGTGTACAGAAAACACACATGCTTCATTGCAAATAAATTGCAGTAAATTCGATTTCCAGAAACTGCTTCCAAGCCTGAGCCTGTCAGCGAGCCTGAGTGCAACACACAGCTCCTGGAGAGCTGAGGACTGGGCTACATGCAGAAACCAGGGGTAAAGACCGGGCCCACCGCAATTTGCACAGTCAAATGAGTGGATGAATTCAAGCCCCTTCAAAAAATCAAGGGGTTTGACTCCTTCCTGGCCCCTGATTCCTATTTTTACTGTCTTACTCAAGAAGGGCATAGTAAGTGCAATTCAGGCAGCACAGACCAGTAATGCTGTGGTGGAAGTCTTGGCAAGAGACATGTCCAGTTCTTCTGGTGAGCCCTGCCTGGGGACAAGACAGAGGAGGTCACCTGATGGACTTTACTGCACTTTAGGACTGTGCAGCTACAAACCAACCTCCAGTGCTCACGGCAGCCTCCAGCCAATCATTTCACACCAGTTTGCCCCGGGAACACCTGCTTACTTGAACTGGTGCTCTCTGGAACTGCGGATCTTGGAGGAGAAGCGTTCAGCCAGCTTCTCCAGGCTCCGGGAGTACTCCAGCTCAATCTCGGCCTTCCTGCGGAAGAACTCCTGCAGGTCCTGCAGCAGCTGCAGGCGCGACTCCGACTGCTGCTCCAGGCATTTGAACTGCTCCACCAGCTGCGTTCGGATTTCTGCAGACACACAAGAGAGAACAAAACACAATGTCAGCAGCAGACACTGGCAGGAGAGCTGTCCTTCCTTGTCCCAGAGCAAACGGCACAGCTCTGCTGGAGCTCCTTCTGAGCCCTGGGGTGAATCCAGGCTTTGCTAAAGGCAACAGATCTTCTTGCCAAGCAAGAGCTGAACAATTCCATTGACCAGCCTCATATTAAACCTCATTCTTGTCAAAACAAACAGCTGCATAGGAGCACCAAGAGCAACTTCAGAGCTTTCAACTGTCTTTTGAATTCAGCAAATGCTACTTCAATCTATCTGGTACTACCTGAAATCCCATACTCTTTGCATATAAGCTAATATATTATTTCTTGATAAATGCCCATGTGAAGACCTACAGGACAGCCAGCACTGACCTGGAGGAAGCAGGCACTGCCATGCACCCTCCTTTCACCCCATCCTCCCACACTGCCGGGTTAATCAGCAAATCCAACGTGGCTTTGGCTCAAAGGCTTAAAAAGTCTTTTGGACCCTTCAAATCCCAGCTCACAAACACCACAAGCTTCATCTGTTCCAGGTTTATTTGCTTTCCCATAGGGACCTTCATTCACTGGGACAGACACACTGCAGCCCCCGCGATCTTTCCCAAAGTGGGCTGGCAGTGTCCAGAGGTGCCTGTGTGGGAGTGGGGATGGGCTCCTCGGATAGCCAGTGTCTCCCACAGGAGCCCAGGTACCCACTGGGTCCTGCAGGGAACAGGCACTCCAGGAGCAGCAAACAGAGTTGGTCTCCAGTGCTGACCCTCATCTGGCCCTGCCAGAACCCACAACCTTGGGCACAGCACACTCCTGTTCTGCACACCCCGATTATTGGAACAGTTTAATGTTTCTCCTCTTTCTATGCCAGAGTTGTACTTTTCACCTTGATCCTCCCCATTTTGAGGACACTTCTCTCCCATGGTCAAAGACCAATTGCACTTTTTCCAGCTCCCTCATATCATATCACACAGCCAAGCTGCAAATCCCCAGCACAGAGCTGATCTCAGGAAAACAGGCAGGCACTGGGAAGGGAGCGCTGCTCAAGGACACAGCCAGACCCTCACCCTGTCTGCAAGAGGAGCAGCACAGCACCTGTGGCACAGGGCACAACAGAAATACACCCTCCCAACCCTTCCAAACCTTTCCCAACCCTTCCAGCCCCAGGCAGGGTTTCTGCAGCTCTCAGAAGCCCATGTGGCCGGGACGCCTCTGCAGGAGCCGCTTGCTCTTCTTGGAGCAGCAGCTGGGCTCTGCCCGGAGGGATGGGGAGCCCCACGGGAGGGGGGGTGGAGAGCTGGAAACAGGAGGAAAAATGAGACTAGACGGTAGGAAAATCTATTCAAAGTGAGAACAATTGGGCTGAGCTGGCTTCAGGGAGCAGCTGCGCAGCGGAGGGATCAGAGGAGCCGGAATTGCAGGGGTGGGATGATGGAACAGGTCCATATGCTGCCTGCCTGTTCCTAGAGCCCACGAGGAGAGGGGAGCGCAGCCCCACACCCCCCACTGCCACACACCCCGTGGCAGAGGTGAGACAGCTCCTTGAGACACTTTGCTTTCCAGAGTTCATCTTTGGCTCCTTCTGCAAATTCAGCATGGTAGGATGACAAATGGTACCTTACTCGCAAAAGCCCCAGCAACTAAAAATACCTGCACCGCCTGAAATGGCTGCCATGGTCACTGGGACACTCAGTGACCCGCATCGAGGCAACACAGAGGTGTCATTCCTGTGCCTGGAATAATCCTCAGTGCCCACATATTACACACATGCACACAAGGCAGGCCCTGCCAGTCCCTGCCAGCACCGCGCTGTCCCACAGCCTCACCACTGCAAGATCCTGTCTACACAATCATCACTTCATGCTGGATGGTGAATTAATAAATGATGATGTAATGGTGATGCAAAGCATTGACTGAAATCACCAAAGATTCATGAACTATTTCGAGCTCCGTAAATTTGTGAGGCTCTCATGTAGAGGAGGTTAAAACTGCCAGTATCATAATCTGGCAATCTGGTATTTTTCAACATTTCTTCATACAACAACTCTCATGTGAGCCTGAGCTCTGGAAGCCTGGCAGGTAACTCATCACTGGGTCATTTAATGGTGGCAGTGATGGGACTGGAGGCTTCACAAAGGGCACCTAAAATCAAAACTCGTGGAAATAAGGAATGCTGAAAGCACCAAAATTCATCACTCACCTTATGTGGGACCCTCTCTGGGCACTTTCTTTATGTTCTTGATACATTATGAGAGGACAGCACAAGGCTCACACCCAGGCACGGCGAGGGACTCGACACACGGCACGCGGCCACCAGCAAAGCCATTTTCTGTTCCCAAAGTCTGCCTGGAGAACCAGGTAACCATCCCCACAGTAGCTGGAGTGCTCCAGCTCATTCCTGACCTGCATCCAGCCCATCTGCAGGCACGAGGATGCTGACACAGGAGCCAGAAGGGCTGAGGCCCCAGGCAGAGGAGGAAGGGTGAGACGCAGTGGGGATGCTCAGCACAACTGCAGCCTCTGCCCAGCCAGAGCCCCCCCAGGACTCTGGGCATCTGCTGCACACAGACATCAGCCCTCACACACAGCATGCAGAAACCCCAAAATGAAGGACAGTTTCACTCTACAGGGAATGCTAGAAAGACCCTTAAAATAAATAAATATGGCTGCTAAAAGAATGGAGAAAAAGAAACTAAATTGTCACTGCAAACAAGGTCTCATAATGACTGGTGTCAGAGTACCTCAGTTGTTACTCTCTCTTGTCCCCAGTTTGCTGGGGTCCAGCTCTATCCCCAGCACACTTTGACCTTCATCAACAGAATATCTTTGTTTTTCCCATGCCTGTAATGTGTTGTTTTGACACTTTTAAGCCTCCTTGCAGGAGTTCAGCCAGGCCAGTGCCACCCCGGCGTGTGGCAGTAAAGGGCAGGCTCTGCAGACATGGGGAGCTGTGACCCTAAAGCCACCCAGCGATGAGCTGTCACACAAACAGTTGAGATGGACACTGACCCCCGGAGCTGCTGCTGCTGAATGGGAAAGGTTTGTGTAGAAAACAAAACGAAGGGCTGCTGACATCATCAATGCAAAGACAGATGTGACAGCAGAGAGAAGGACATCGTTCAGTGTCCAGGGCCCCTGGGAGTCAGCGCTCACGGGGACAGCCCGGACAGCACCTGCAGTCGCTTCCCTGCTTCCAGCTATGCTCTGCTGCCACATTTCATGGCACTCTCCTCTCAGTTAAATGCCTTTTCATTGGACCAGGAACAAACACAGGCAGGCAGCAAAGCCTTTTTCCACCCTTCAAGCCTGCTGCCTAGGGAACAGCAGGAGCACTCGGAGGGCATCCATCTCCCCCTGCCTGCACAGTGGAGCTGCAGACCAGCCCCACGTGGGACAGGCAACCATGCGCTGTTTGATCCCAACACCCTCTGCCCTCCCCCTCTCCCTCCAACCCAGCCTGCTCACACAGCAGGGGTGGGGACAGCGGGTCCCAGCAAACCCAAACCCAGCACAGCTCTGCTAACGCCCAGTGCAACACCTACAACCCAGATCAAAACCCACAGCCCTTCACCAGCAATCTTCTGGTCAGCAGCATCAGCACGAGCTGCATCCGTCCTGTACATCATGGGGGGATTCACAGGCCTGGAATTCCAGCTTTAAACTGAATGCCAGTTATGTTTTCCGCATTAGATAATTATCTCTTCAGCACCCAACCCCAAAACCTTAACTTCTGCTCAGAAGAAGGAGCTTCCACTGTGAGCAGTCCTGTTATCTAAAATGCAGAATCGGGATAGAAAATGCAGGAAATCTGATTTCCTCAGCTCTTCCGAAACACACTGGTGAGGATCCTGGAGAAAACAAAATTCCTTGGCAAAGTAAGGAGCACAGCAATGGTCAAGACAGGCTGCAGGACTGCTAATCCAGAAGAGAGAGGGAACATCTGTAACCAGAACATCTGGCAATTTGCCTTCTGTAATGTTTCTGAATCAATCAACCCATATCACAGCCACAACTGCTTGTTATCCTCAGGCCACGTGAGATGCTGGCAGCAATCACACTTCTAGGCTGCCAAGGTATGGCAAAGCCTCCCACCACACTAAGACCCCCAAGAATGCTCCCATCCCTCTGAAACCTGGTGAAAGGCTTCCAAGAGCCAGAGGGGACACAGAGGGAACTGAGTGTGATGGCCACAGTCAGCCTCACAATACAGAGCACAGAATAAACCCACTGCAGGATAAACCCTTCCCACCACTAGAAGCCAGCTGGTACCTGAGTGCAACAGATCGTGGAGATGAGAGGCATGATTTGCATTCAGCCTTTGGCAGGTTTGTAAGCCAACGGCAACATTAAAAAAAGTGGAAAAAACTCACCAAAAAAAATGGAAAAAAATTGGTAAGATTATGGGTCAGCCCAAGCAGCACATCAACAGCTTGAACTGGGCCCCGAGAGGAGCTGATTCTCAGGGGCACTTCTGCTGGGCTGCTGGAAACACGAACCTTTGGAAACCCTGGATTTCCTACGAGGCCAACTCCAAACCTGAGGGAGTGCTGGGTTGGAAATGGACACTCAGAGTGCCAGGGAGAGCATAAAGACAATTCCCCAAACCTTTTCAAGGCACCAGAAAAGTGCTGTTTTGGTTGATCTAACATCTCGGCCAGTAGATCAGGGTAAGCCTCCATTTTTCCTCTCCTTGGCTGTTCACCTCATCCATGCTCCAGTGAGGACAATGCTGGCAGCCACGCACAGAGCCTGGGAACACTCACACACGTCCAAATAGCATACCTCTGACACAGGGATGAGGCAGGGTTTGACAAAGAGCAAAATTATCTGGGACACACTGTGACAAACTTGAGCACTCCTATAAGAACCAACACACTGATGTGGAGAGGTCAAGCCGAAGACAACAAGCTCAGCTCCAAGTCATTACGAACACGCTGCTCCAGCCCTTCCCACCCTCAGCTTGCTGAAGGATATTTTCCATA